ATGGAATGGAATGCGGGGCCACGGCGGCAAAGAGTGAGTGAGCGAGGGAGAGAGAGAGAGAGAGAGAGAGAGAGAGAGAGAGAGAGAGAGAACAACAAAAAAAAAAAAAAAAAAAAGGAAAGAAAGAGAGAGAGAGAGAGAGAGAGAGAGAGAGAGAGAGAGAGAAAGAAACAAGGAGAAAGAGAGAGAGAGAGAGATAACAACAAAATCACACACAAAAACAAAAGAACACGGTAGCTCTCCCAACCGACGAAAGGAAGGGGGCCCTTTGGGCCCCGCAGGGTATGACGCCGGCGTTGCGGTCATCCTGACCATGATGCCAGTGGTCTCCGGCTGCATTCGCGAATGTACAACGACGTACACGTGCAAGTACAGGAGGCACCTCACTCTCAAAAACCCACGTCGATGAACAGGATGTGCACCGAACCGCGCTCACACCGCCCCGTCGGGTCTGCGCCTTGCTGCGCTCCCCAGAGCCCCTGGGCGCGGCCCGCGCGCCTGCGGGGCCTGCGCCTCCAACGCTCCCTGGGGCCCATGGTGGCCGCCCGAACTCTCGCGCAACGGCGTTCTGACCAGGCCCGAACTACAACGGCGAGGGCCCGAGAGTCGTGGAGTGCAGCGCGCGCGCGCGCCGAAAACTGGAACCGCTCGCCATCCGTTCACGCTGCGCGAAGGCTCGTGCTGGCCTGAGGCAATGCCCCCCGCAGCCCGCCGCGTTTCGGCAGCATGGCGCGGCGCCCATCGACCGAGATGTCCTCGAACGCGCGCCCGCCGTCGCCGCCGTGCCCATGCTGCCTGCAGTTGCAGTGGAGTTCACCGTGGGCACGGCCGAGGACGCTGCGCTGCTCGAGTCCGAACTCGCAGTCGCCGCCCGGCACGTCGCTGCCAGCTTGCTCAGGTCGTCGTGTTGCCTGGGGCATGGCCTCCCGCAGCCCACTGTACTTCGGCAGCATGGCGCGGCGTTCCTGGACCGAATGTTTTGCGCACCCGCCGCCGCCGCCGCGCCCCTGCTGCGGCGGGCCCTGCGGATCGGAGGCGCCGCCCCCAGTTCCCTCCCGCTGGCCAGCAGCCCCTCGGCCTCCGAGTGACCTGGGCGCGCTCCTTTCGCCTCCTCGACCCCCCGAGCCCTGCGCTGCACGGTCACCATGCCGTGCTGCGCGGCCTCCTTTTCCCCTGGCCGCGCCGCCGAAGCCCCTGAGCAGGGCTTGCGCACTCCCTGCCTGGGCCCGCTCCTCGGCAGCCGCGCGGCGGGGGCGCCCCGGCCGCCCCGCCGCCCTCCAGCGTCGCGGAGGCGCCTCCGCCCCGCGAAGGGACGGGGAGAGCGAGGGAGGGAATGAGGCAGATGCCCAGCAGGCCTCCTGTCGCGGGCTCGCTGGCGCGCCTGGGCCGAGCTGGTCTGCCGTGCTGGTCTGCCGCGCTGGCCTGCCGCGCTGGTCTGCCGCGCTGTGGTGGTCTGCCGTGCTGGCCTGCCGTGCTACTACAATCTGGCGCGTTGGTCCGCCGTGCTTCTGAGGTCTGCCGTGCTGGTCTGCCGCGTTGTTGTGGCATGCGTTGCATGCCGGGCCCAAAAAGCAAAACGACGAAGAGAACAAGTTAGCCCTTCCGACCAAGCAGGGGGGGGGGGGGCCCTTGGGCCCACAGAGGGAGAGGCCGACAGGCTCCGACACCCCAGCTCCGAAACACTCAAAATCCGCCGACCCCTTGGGGTTCATCGGCGCGTGAGATCTCCCCCCCCCAAAACCCCTCCCCCGGGGGCCCGGCCGGGTCGATTTGGAGGGGGGGGGGGGGTCCGGCCAAATTCCCCGATTCCCCCGATTCCCCCGATTCCCCCCGGGGGGTCATCCGCTCCCGAAAATCCTGCAAGGACTCCTCCGGTGGCTTCGAAATGGCTCCGGGACGCCATTCCCTCCGTTAGACGTACAGTTTTCACAAGTTCGCCTTCTGGGTTTTCCGATGCTCCCAGACGGCCCAAGAGGCCCCCAAGACCGCCCCAAGACGGCCCAAGAAGCCTCCAAGAGGGTCCCAAAATAGCCCAAGAGGGCCCCAAGACGGGCCAACAGGCGTCCAAGACAGCCCAAGAGGGCCCCAATAACGGCCCCAAGAGCGCTCCAGGAGCGCTCCGAGTGGCCTCCAAGAGAGCTCAATATGGTCTCAGACGGTCCAAGAGCGATCAAAGACACCGAAGACGGCCTCCAGACGGCCCAAGATGCCCCCAAGAGGCCCCAAGAGGCATCCAAGATGCGCCCCAAGAGGGCCTCTAGACGCAAAAAGTTGGCCCGTTCCCTTCGTAAAACGTATATGTTTCACAAGTTCGCCCTTTGGGCTTTCCGACGCTCCCGGACGGCCCAAGAGGCCCCCAAGACGGCACCAAGACGGTCCAAGAAGCCTCCAAGAGGGCCCCAATACAGCCCAAGAGGGCGCCAAGACGGCTCAAGAGGCGCCGAAGACGGCCCAAGAGAGCCCCGAAGACGGCCCCAAGAGCGCTCCAGGAGCGCTCCAAGTGGCTTCCCAGAGAGCTCAACATGGCCCCACACGGTCCAAGAGCGATCGAAGACACCCGAGATGGCCTCCAGCTGGCCCAAGACGCCCCCAAGGGGCCTCCAAGATGCGTCCAAAGAAGGTCCCTAAACGGAAAAAATGCGTTTTCCGACGCTCCAAGGCGGCCCAAGAGGCCCCGAATACCGCCCCACGACGGCCCAGGAGGCCCCCAAGACGGCCCCACGACGGCCCAATACGGCCCCAAGACGGCCCAAGAGGTCCCCAAGACGGCCCAAGAAGGCTCCAAGACGGCACCAAGAGTGGCCCAAAAGGGCAACCAAAAATTCAAAAATCTAGCTCTCCGCCCCCGCGAGCCCCAGGGGGCCCCAAGAGTGCCCCAAGAAGCCGCCAGAGGCCCCCAAGAGGCCGCCAAGACGCCCCAAGGAGCCCCCAAGAGGCCCCCAGGAGGCCTCCAAAAGACCCCCAGACGCTTCCGCATTGCGAGCCGTCAAGCCAACTGCTATGCACTCCGCGCGTGCAGCCTTGCTCTTCCTCGCGACGTGCTCAAAATCTTGTTCGGCGCAAATGTGCTGCTGCTACGCGAACTGTTTCGTGCGCGCTACGAGCGTCAACAGCCTCTTCACCCGTTTCGACTCATCTGCCACATCTTTTGCGGCGATGCTTCGCTGATCACAGCTTCCACGCGCTACTCTTGTTCCTTTCGTCTTCCGGTGCTCCTCCACTTGGTTGAGGGTCGAAAGGCCGACCTCCCAGAAGGGCGCCCCGCACCCGGGTGCACAGCGCACAAGGCGCTCGCAAAACACGCCCCAGACCACCGGCACCACGCAAACCTTTGGACCCCCCACGCATCTGCCACCACCCGCGCGCGACACCGCACCCTCACACAAGACGCCGCTGGCCAGAAACTCCCGGCCTCGCAACAGTCACAGAAGGGGTCGGCGGATGTGGCGTCAGCCTGTAGAATCTGAGTGGGATGTGGCTCGCACGTGGCGGCGCCAGCCGACCAGGACCGATGCCCGCTCTGGAGACGCATGAAGTAATTACGCTTCGATGCAAGCGAATGGTTTCGACTGCATCTGCGAATGTACAAGGGCGCACACGTTCAAATGCAGATGAGCACGCGCTCGCATCAACGCAACGAGCGCACGACAGCACGCAAGGGAAGTGCAAGCCTGGCTCAATCACGCAACCTTTAAGGCCTGCGCCGAAGCACTCTCTTGGACCCGTGGTGAAGCCCGACAACTGACGCAACAAGAACCTCTAGTGACCACTGTGCTCTTCCTCTGCCTTGCATGGCCTGCGCCGAAGCACCCCCCAAGGCCCGTGGCGGCAGCCCGAACCCCCCCGCTCGCACAGGCTGCGATGCCGACATGCCCATTGCTTACCGCGTCGTGCAACGTGAAAAGGGAAAGCTCACGGCACTGCGACGTCCAGAACTCTGTCAGCAGATCCCGGCAACAGTAGGAGGATCCTGCGATGCTGAATGCTGTCGCTCGCGCTGCTCTGTTGGGCTCGTACCCGCAAGGCCGCTCCATATGCTACGCCCCCACTCGTCGAGCCTTCCGCTCGCCCTGTCCTGCTGCCGCGCGGCGAGCCGCTCGACGGTCGATTGGCGGATGCTCGAAGGCGCCGCGGGCGCCGCCGCGAGGCGCTCTGCCTGCCGTTGCTGCGGCCTCGCTGTGAATTCTTGAAGCAGGGGCGCCTGCTCGGCGAACTCGTCGACGTCCCCCGGGCGCCTGCCCAGGCCCACGTCTGCCTCGGACTCACGCTGCGCCGTCGCCGCTCTCATGGCCACTCCGCGCAGCAGCCAGGGGCCAGAGGACCTCGGCGACGCCCCTGCGCTGGAGGGCGGCGCTCGCCAACTCGGCGGCGGCGACGCAGGGCGTCTCGGGTCCTTGCGGGCCGGTCCCCTCCGAACCGGTGCTCTGGAATCCGACCCCGCCCTGCTCCTCCAGCTGCAACTCTGACGCCGTCGCCTCTCAGCAAGCTCCTCGACCCTCTCGACCGCGGAGGCGCTGGCGAGGCGGAGCGCGTCGGCATTCACCGGGTCCTACAAGGGCCCCACGGTCACCAGTGCCGCGAGAATGCTCGCCCTGCCGTGCTCTTGTGGTCTGCGCTGCTTATGTGGTCTGCAATGCTGCCGCGGTGCGCCGCGCTACTGTGGCTGGCAACGCTGCTGCGGCCTGCCGTGCTGGATCTGGGGCTCCGGGGGCTCAAAACCTGAAAAAAGTAGAGAGAGAGAGAGAGAGAGAGAGAGAGAGAGAGAGAGAGAGAGAGAGAGAGAGAGAGAGAGAGAGAGAGAGAAGAGAGAGAGAGAGAGAGAGAGAGAGAGAGAGAGAGAGAGAGAGAGAGAGAGAGAGAGAGAGAGAGAGAGAGAGAGAGAGAGAGAGAGAGAGAGAGAGAGAGAGAGAGAGAGAGAGAGAGAGAGAGAGAGAGAGAGAGAGAGAGAGAGAGAGAGAGAGAGAGAGAGAGAGAGAGAGAGAGAGAGAGAGAGAGAGAGAGAGAGAGAGAGAGAGAGAGAGAGAGAGAGAGAAGAATAATAAAAACAAAAAAAGGCGGGCCACCTTTGGCAGCGCCATAGGCGGGGCCACCGCGGCCCCAGCCCGCCCAGGGGGGGCCCGCGGGGAAGGGCCAAGAGCCTCAGAGCCCCCGCGGACCACGCGGACCTGGGGGCGGGGGAGCGCGGCAGCGCAGACCCCGACAAACTGGACCACAGCCCCTTAGGGCTTGCGCCGCAGAACTCCCCAGGACCCATGGGGGAAGCCCAATCGCAGAGAAAAGCGCTTTAGGGTTTGCGTCGCAGCACTCTCCAGGGCCCATGGGGGGAGCCCAGCGCACAACGAGAACGCCACCCTTTCGGGTTTGCGCCGAAGCACTCCCCAGGGCCCGCGGGGGAAGCCCAAAGCAAACACGACAGCCACCCAGCGCCACCTCCAACAGACGACCGCAGCAAGTGGAAGCCCAAACTGGCGAGATGCGCAACGGCTGCCTCAGAGCACCCCCAAGGAAGTGGCGACACTCTTGATCCAAAGGTCGGCCCCCAGGCCCTGCTGATGGAAAACGAGCAGCTGCGCGACCGCGCCGACAGCCTCGACGGCGCCCATAGCCCGCAGGAGCCCGAAAGTGGCGTCGCAGAGGCACAAGGGTTGCAAGCCTGCCACTGGAGGGCCTGCACGAGGTCGAAGAAAACATGCCGCATGCGAACATCTGCGTCCTCGGCTGGCATCGACGACGACGCGGCCTGCTCGGCCTGCCCAGCGTCGCATTCCCCGCCGTGCTGCTCGCCAGTGCTGCGCCGCTCAGCGCCGTGCTCGGACGGCTTGCTGGCGCACGGCTCGCTACTGCACTGCACGACCTGCTCAGCGCCGTACTCCCCGCCGTGCTGCTCGCCATTGCTGCGCTGCTCAGCGTCGCAGTCGGGCGGCTGGCTGCCGCGCAGCTCGCTGCCACACTGCTCAGCGCTGTACTCCCCGCCGTGCTGCTCGCCGACGCTGCGCTGCTTAGCGCGGTTTGCTGCCGCGCCGCTCGCTGCTGCACTGCTCGGCCAGCTGCGCCGCGGAGTCCAGGCCCTCCTGGGCGAAATCGCAGCGCAACAGCACTATGCCCACGTCGCCTCTTTGCTCAGCGACGGCCATCGGCCTCGCGGCGCACTCCTTGCCGAAGGTGCCGTCTTTGCGGAATTGAGCGGCTTCCGCCGCGAACTGGATGACCTGCGCCCTAAGGTCTAGCAGCCGGGCCTTTGAGCTCGACGAGGCCCTCGCCGAAGACGACCTTCGTCTCGAGCTCCACGCCGATGCCTGGGTGACGCCGCCCTCCGAGACCGCTGTGCGCCATGCCCATGGTCTGTTGCGCCAGGACCTCCATCTGCGGGTCATCCTCGTGCGCGCTACATCCGCCGCACGGGCTGCCGATGTGGAAGTTTTGCACGCCAGAAACGCCAGAAGACCCCTCCGACAGTGGCTGGTCCATGGCGCTGCCGTCCGACGAGGCGCAGTGGTCCCCGCGGCTGGCCGCGTCGCCTCGGAACCAGCGCTCGAACTCCTCCGCGATCTCCGATGCCAGCCCAGGGTGCCGCAAGATGCTGGACGCGGCATCCAGCTCCCGGGTGCGCCTGGCCAGCGCGTTGGGGGGCCTCCTGCCCGTCTTGCGGAGCGCCTTGATGCCCTTCGCGTAGCTTTTATAGCCGAGCACGGCGACGACCTCGCAGGACGCACCAGGGAGCCGCTCCGCCCCACGCCCGAGCCCAGGACGAGCCACGAGACGCACGGGGCGGCCAGGGGGCCCCTCGGGCGGGGTGCAGGGCGCCACGGCCTTCTCGACCGCCCTCCGGGCCGCCGCCCTGCGCTCCGCCGACCGCAGCTGGGAGCCCGCGACGGCGTCGAGGGCGGCCGCCAGGGGGGCCGTGGTGCCAGCGCGCCCCGAGAGCGCGCTCCGCCGCCGGCTCAGCGCCAAAATGGTTTCAGCCGTGTTCCTATGGTATGCCATGCTGGTGTTGCGTGCCGATGTGTTCTCCCGTGCTGGTCTGGCCTGTTCCTGTGGTCTGCCGTGTTGATCTGCCGTGCTCCTGTGGTCTGCCGTGCTGGTCTGCCGTGCTGGTGTGGTTGGCCGTGTTGCTCTGCGGTGCTGCTGTCTGCCGTGCTGGTCGGCCGTGCTGCCGTGGGGCGCATCCTCCAGCAACCCCATTTGCGGAGCATGTCTCGGGCGAAACGCCTGTTGTTCCATCAGCCGATGCCTGTAAATTAATGATACCGGAGGAAACCCCAATCAGGGCTATAGGGCTATAGGGCTATTGAGCTATAGGGCTCTAGAGCTATAGGGCTATAGAGTTGTAGGGCTATAGGGTTATAGGGCTATTGGGCTATAGGGCTATAGGGCTTAGGGCTATAGGGCTACAGGGCACCCCCGGGCACCCTCGGGCACGCCCAGGCACCTGGGCACCCGGGCACCCCCGGGCACCCCCCGGGCACCCGGGCACCGGACACCCCCGGGCACCCGGGCACCCGGGCGTGCAGCGAAAATCGGCGACAAACCTAACCTAACCATATGAATCTGCTAGGACCCATACAGAGGCAAGCTCTGATTGGGGAATAATTCCAAGGATGCCCCAAACGAACTCACAATTGTCGCTCGTCTTGCTGGGCGCTCTTGGGATTATCTTGGGGCCTGGCTTGGGGTCCTTTGAGCCTCCTTGATGCTTTGGAAGGGGCAGCCCAGTACGATCTTACAAACCTCAACGTGCGTGGATGTCCCTAGCGAAATCGTCATTTTTGGAAGGCTCGCCGAGAGGTCTTGCGTGAGCGATATAGACGATGTTAGAAACGACGTTTGTTCAAAGCGATCTTACTACCCAAGATCGCTCCAAGACGGCCCAAGCGGACCCCAGTTCGGCGCAGAAGGTTCCCAGCGCACGGGAAGAGAACCCTAAGAGGTTAACAAGAAGGCCTCGGAGAAGCAAACAGCAATGACAACCCGCAGGTTGTTCAATTTGAGCAGGGACCGACCGTCCCAGCATCCCTTTAGTCCTACCACGAAATGGTTCTTAGAACCCAAAAATGGTCTAAGAACAAAAACAAGGATCTTAGAACATAAACCCGATGTGATAAAACAAAACAGATTCCACCATAAATGTTCGATGAACATTACGTGGAGACCACAAAGGGTTCTTAGAACATTGGTTGGTAGGGCTATAGTGAAGGGGCCCTGGGACACACAAATAATTACACACATAAACATGGCCCCCATATTTTCCCATATGTTCTGGGCTTTTGTCTTCCCCCCCACTTCCCGTATTTTCCCATATTTTCTTGGGAATCGACGATGAATTGTGTCTGTGTGTTTCTTTCCCTCCTGATATAGGCACGCCAGGACGCTTCGCCACTGCTTGACAATGACAACCCGCAGGTGGTTCAATGCCCGACGGGCTTCGAGGCAGCACCGCGCTGCGCCACGACGCTCCGAGCCCGGCCCGCGGACCCAGGAGGGGCCCTGGAGGCCCCAGGCGGGCCTCGCCATGGCGAGGGCCCCAAGACCGTCCTAGGGAGCTCGCAAGATCTTAGCTGCCACGATGCGCGACACGCAGCGCGTATCGTATTGATGCGGAGCTCAACACGTAGGCTGAAAACGTAGGTCCGACGCGGCACGTTGGCCGAAACGTGGTCCAATGCGTGGAGCCGACACGCAACGTATTGACACGGACGTCTTGAACACGGGACGTGCTGCGTTTCAAAACGGGCGTATCGAGGCAACTGAGCGCAAGATGGGTCAAGGACCTCCCAGGCGGCCAGGAAGACACAACAAAAGGCGGGAGAACACACTGAGCCATGCCACCACTGCTCTCCCAGAGTTTTCCCCAGCAGCTGGGGGGGGGGGGCACGCAGTCCACTCGCGTGGCCGCACTTTCGACACGTCCGTTTCCAAAGGCAAGACGCGAAATTGGGCGTCCCCGGTGCAGACTCGCTCACACTCGGACTCGCTGGGAGGAGGAGGAGGAGGAGGAGGGGGAGGAGGAGGAGGAGGAGGAGGAGGAGGAGGAGGAGGAGGAGGAGGAGGAGGAGGAGGGGGAGGAGGAGGAGGAGGAGGAGGAGGAGGACACACTCTGACTCGCTCGTGATCCACCACCACTCACCCGCCACCCCGCGCCTTCTGGGCACGCCGTGGCGCTGCAGATGGCCAAACGCTGCCCGGCAGGGCTGCTGTGCTCTTCCAAGGGACCCCCCTCTGCACTGGCGCAGACTCCCGCACGTCCCCCCCCCCCCTCCCGAGGCCACGGCCCCTGCTAGAATCAGGTCGGGGATTTTGGATGACAAATCAAGAGCGCACCCCAAAATGTCCAAGCATCGTCAAACAAATACGTTCCACAAACCGCCCGCAGACGAGTTTTCAATAGCTCTGAACCTTCCTCCCGTAGAGGGACAAGCCCGACTTATAATGCTAAAAAGCAACAGATAGCCGCGCACCCGAAGCCCCAGGCGGAGGCGCCCGCGCCCCCCGCGCGCCCACGACGGCCGAGGCAGGCACCCCCTCCGGCCGCCGCGCGTGCCCCCTGACCTTCCAGAGAGCTATGGTTTAGCACTGGAGACCCCAAAACCTAAAAAGCTAGGCGAAACAGCATACAACCAAGACGTAGAATAGCTCTGGGACAGGTTTTGAAGTCGCGTGCTATTGTTTGGCCCTCCTGGAAGGGTCAGGGTCCGAGACCCCCCCCCCCCCAAAAAAAAAAGGCAGCACAGGATTGCCCCCCGACGGCCCGGAGGACGGTGGTCTCGAGGAGGGCCCCCCAGGACGGCCCCAAGGGGGGCGAGCGGAGGGGCCCCAGCAGGGCCCAGCGAAGCCCAAATCGTTACAGGACGGCTCAAGGTGGCTCCCAAGATGGCCCCAGGACGGCCCAGGGAGGCTCCCAGGACGGCCAGAGCAGGACTCCATGATGGCCCGGGAGGCCTGCCGGACGGCCCCAGACCGCCCAGGGAGGCCCATGGAGATGTACCCAATGTGGCCGCAGAGGGACCTCGGGCAGCCCGAGACGGCGCCAAGATGGCCCCACGATGGCTCCGCGACGCCCCCATACGGCCAGGAGGGGCCCCAGGACGGCCCAAGAGAGCCCTGAGACTGCCAAACTGGGCCCCAAGACGGCCCAAGAGGGCCCCAACGCGGGCCCCAAGGGACCCACAAGACTGCCTCACAGGAACCCCAGGCAGCCTCAAGACGGCCCAAGCCACGTATACTCAAACCCGCCCGTGTCCTGTCCGACCCAAACTCGAACTCACCCATTATGCGCCCCTCATTCTCGGACCTGCTCGCATTCAGACTCGCTCGTGCTAGGTCAGGAGAAGGGGAGAGGAGGAGGAGGAGGAGGAGGAGGAGGAGGAGGAGGAGGAGGAGGAGGAGGAGAAGGAGGAGGAGGTCCCGACAGAATGGACATGCGACCCCGGACCTCTCGACCCCATTCTCCCGACGCCTGCTGAGCCGGGCCACTAACTTCGCAGATCGAGCCCTGGGATGGGCGACGCGCGGTTATCTTCGCGCCGATCGCGAGGCCACCTTGGAGAGAGGCCCCAGGCCGCGCCGCGCGAGTTGCGATGATCTTGTGGCCCTCGAGGGGGCCACCTGCCGCGTTTTGCTCTCTGGGCCGCTTCTTGACGTGCCCCTGGAGCGCAGACAAAACGGCCCCCCGCAGGCGCCAAGACCGCGACACAGCGTAAGCGCTGGACAGAGAAGCTGTTCTTCCAGTCTGGCGAGAGCCCGCGCTGGCAGGGCCGCCCGTCTCCCACCTCATTCCAGTGTTCTGGGCCTCCCAAATGGGGTTCATCCTTCTCCTCCTCCTCCTCCGCCTCCTCCTCCTCCTCCACCTCCTCATCCTCCTCCTGCTCCTCGTCCTGCTTCACCTCCTCCTTCTCCCCGACTCCTCCTCCCCCTCCCCGTCCTCCCCCTCCCCCTCCCCTCCCCTCCCCCTCCCCCTCCTCCTCCTCCTCCTCCTCCTCCTCCTCCTCCTCCTCCTCCTCCTCCTCCTCCTCCTCCTCCTCCTACTCCCCCTCCCCTCCTCTCCTGCCTGCAGGTCCGAAAAGGGGTGCGCAGTGCCGGTGCGCGCGGGCATACGTGGAGCTGCCCAGAGCGAAAAGGTCAGGTCCTCCGAAGGCCTCTCCCTCCCCCCTACGGAGAGGACATTGGATAAGGAGCCATTGGATAAGAAATCCAGAGTCTGGAAGCTGGTGAAAAGCCAACCGTGGATTGGCCATGGATAGCACCGCCGCCCTCATCAGATAAGGCATCCTCCAGGGTCTGGAACCTCCTGAGCCCATTCCTTAACCAATGCCCCCACCGTACCCCACTGGATGACCTGGAAGAGGAGGAGGAGGAGGAGGAGAAGGAGGATGAGGAGGAGGAGGAAGAGAGGAGAGGAGGGGGGGAGGGGAGAGTAGGAGGAGGAGGGGAGGAGTAGGAGGGGAGGAGGAGGAGAGAGGAGGAGGAGGAGGAGAGGAGGAGGAGGAGGAGGAGGAGTAGGAGGAGGAGGAGGAGAGGAGGAGGAGAGGAGGAGGAGGAGGAGGAGGAGGAGGAGGAGGAGGGGAGGAGGACGAGAGGAGAGGGAGGAGGGGGAGGGGGAGGAGTAGGAGGAGGACGAGGAGGAGGAGCAGGAGCAGCACGGCGTCCGAGGCCTCGGAGCATGCGCCAGACAGCAGGGCGGCGGCAGCAGCGCCCCCCGAGGCAGTAGCTCTCGGCGGCTCGGGCTGGCGGCGGCGGCCGCGGGCGCGGGCCTACGCGCCCTCCAGCGGGCCGTCCGCGAGCGCCGCGCCGCGCCAGCCGGCAGGGGGGGGGGGGAGGGGGGAGGGACAGAGAGGGGGGGGAGGGAGGGGGGGAGCGAGCGAGGTGGAGGAGGAAGGACGGGAGGAGGGATCGAGGCAAATGGGGGCGGAGGGAGGAGCCGGGAGGGGGGCATGAGGGAGGATCGGAGGGCCTTGAAGCCGGAGACAGACGAGAAGAAGGATGGAGGATGGGATGCAAGGGGTGAGGAGTGAAAGAAAGGCGGGGGGGAGGAAGGAGCAAATGGCGTGAGGTGCGAGGGAAGAGAGGAGTCAAAGAGAGGTGGAGAAAAAAGAAGGTGGAGAGGTGGATACGAGGGATGACGAGTCAAAGAGAGAGAGAGAGAGGAGTGAACATGAGCAGAGAGGCGTGGGAGGAGAAAGGAGGGAACGAGCAAGAAGGGAAGGGGGAGACTATTGACTATTGGGGTGGCGGGGCGGCACGAGCGAGGAGGAGGAGGGACGCGAGAGAGGACGGCGGGGGGACGCACGCGGGGGCGAAGGGGCGAGGGCCGGTGGTCGAACGGGAGTAGGACCAGGAGCATGAGGGAGGCAGAGACTTGCCATCGCTCGGACGCCCTTTCCCTGTGCATTTGTTTCGGTGTCGTGCGTGTTTTTTTTTCTTCCCGCGAGAGGACCCAAGATGCTCCTCCATGGCCCTCGCCGAGGAAAGAAAAACAAACAAAAACGTCCAAGCGATGCCAAGGAGAAAGATAGAAAGAGAGAGAGAGAGAGAGAGGGAGGATAAAAAAAGAGGGGGATGAGGGAGGAAGGGAGGAAGCGAGGACTGGAGGGCGGAAAGAACCAGCAGGAGTCGAGGCAGAGAAGAGCCGGCGGGGGGAGTAAGTCGGGAGTCGCTAAAGGTGCCCCTGGCCGAAGGTGCCCCCCAGCTTGCCGCTCAATCTTGGAGCCCTCGGGGTTCCTCTAAGCCTCGAGAGGGGTGCAATGGAGGCCGTTGGGGCCTCCTGGGACATCCTGGGGACACCTTTGACGCACGAAACGCACACGCCCATACGCATGGGGAGGTATGAGGGAGCAGGACTGGCTATGGGTAGGGGTGCGGGTTGTCGGACCCCAGGGGAGGCTCCTGTTCGAGCGGGGACCCCCCTCCGACAACACGCACCCATAGCCCCCTCCGTCCCCCTCTGTGGACATGGGCGTGTGTTGTTCGCTCGTCAACCTTGGGCCAGAGACACTTCCAGCAACACCCGAGGAAGGTGGGGGGAAGGGAGAAGCAGAGGATCGGCGGCGAGCGACGGGGAAGTGAGAAGGAGCAGGCCTTCTCAGAAGGCGGCGGGGCTTCTCGGAAGCCCTCCGGCCTTCCGAGACAGCTTAGCGTATTCGGGGAAAGCTTGGACAAATTCTCTGGAGGCCCTGGGACTTCCGGGCCTTCTGAGAAGGCCCGTCCCTTCCGGGGAAACGAACAATGACATCAACATACAAACTCGGAGGTCCGCGCGGATTTCTCGGATCGGCGCTGGGGCCCCCCTGGCGGCGCCTCCGGCGCCGCCCCTGGCGCGCTCCGCGCGCCAAGGAGGGAGGCCCAGCGCCGATCCGAGAAACCCGCGCGAACCTCCGAATGTTTATGCTCATGCCATTCTTCGTTTCCCGCCCTCCTCCTCCTCCTCCTCCTCCTCCTCCCCCTCCTCCTCGTTCTTATGTTTATGATAATGCCATTCTTCGTGTCCCTCTGCTCTCTCCCCGCCCCTCGCTCGCCGCCGAGAGGAGAGCGCCCGGTGGCACCCCCCGGGGCGGGCGGGGACGCGGCCCCTCGCCGCAGCCCCCGCCCCAAAAGGGAGCCGAGAGGCGGCCTGCGGAGCGACCGCCCGAGCCGGCGCGCGGGCGGCGGAAGAGCGAGGGCTCCTGCAGCGAACCCGTACAGTCGGGGCGTTGACCTAAGGAACTCAAAATAAGGCACGAGGCCCCTTGTTTCCATAAGTTGAACGTGGATTTCCGATCGAAAGCCTAAGGGAAGCCTGAGGCAAGCTGTGAATCAATTCAGGAACACGGAGCCCCTGCAGTCGAAGGGCTCTTGCAGTCAACCCGTAAGATAGTCGGGGGCGAGCGAGGGGGGGAGTGAGAGGGAGAAGGCCTTCTCAGAAGGCGGCGGGACCTCTCAGAAGACCTCCGGCCTTCCGAGAGGCTTTCTGTGTCTTCGGGGAGGGCTTGGAGCACTTCTCAGAGGGCCGCGGAGTTTCTGAGCCTTCTGAGAAGGCCCGCCCCTTCTCACTTCCCCCCCCCAGGCTCGCCGCCAAAATAAGGGACGCACGATAAGGATGCAAGGGCCTTGGAAGGCCATGTCGACACTTTGCGAGCGGGGTGCGGCCAGCGAAAGCGGCCAAGGATGGGCCGAAGGGGCCAGGATGCAAGGGCAGCCTTGGAGAGTCGCTCATCATTACCATGCGGGTTTACTGCACGCGAGGTGGCACACCGACCTGACGCGGAGGCGTATGCGGGCCGCCAGCGCGGCACGCAACATTGGCAACGCGCGACCTTACGCGGGCAACTTACGCGCGAATGTCGGCGAAGACGGACCCATTTTTCTGCGTCGCTCACGTGGGCGCGGGGGAAAAATCCGCCGACCCTGTCGGCGTGTGACAGGGGCTGTTCCGTCGCCATCGCCGTTGCTGCCGTCGTCGCGTCGCCACCGCGCTTCCCCCCTTTCCTTGAGCCCTCGTCCTCAAGCACGCCAGCCGAAGCGAAATACACCAGCCTCTCCGCGGCGAAGTTAAGCAACGTTGCCTTTGAGTCGAAGGGCAGCCCCTTCCCTTAGAACCCCCCCCGCGGAGGTGGGGGGGCGGCCCAGGGGGGGGTCCGGGGGGGGGGGTCCCGGGGGGTGGTCCTAGGGGGTGGTCCCGGGTCAGAATACCACCCTCCCGGGGCAGGCCCATGGCCCCCGCCCTCTCCCTCCCATTTCCGTCGAGGGCCGAGGCCTCCAGGGTCGGCGGCGCCGGCCGCAAGACCTTCACAATAGAGGGCAGAACATCCACCCCACAATAACTTACCTCACGCCGTTTGGTAAACGAAACCAGGGGAGGCATCGAAGAGGGCAGGGCTGCTTAGCAAACACCCAAGGCCATTCAGTAAACGCCAATTGTAGGGGTCTGGGTGGTCTTATTCCTCCCTTCCAAAAAAAAGCTATCAAACGGTGACGGTGCGCGCCGATGCCTGCACGGATTTGGCGACGGTGCGCGCCGATTCTCGCATGGCAAAACGGGGCCGGTCGGTGATCCACGCGCCTTCGTCCGTGGCTGCGCTTCCCGCGGCAGATGGTGAAGCGCCTGCTCGCTCATACAATCGGACCCAGGCCAAACGATCATCCCTCAAGAACATGAGACCTTCCGCCGGCCAAAACACACAGACCATCCGATGGTATCATCCCCAGGATGCACAAGAACATCGAACAGACACGAAGAACATCAAGGCACCCGCCCCGAACCGACTTCGATCTTATACCTCGGTCCTGCTGTACCCCGAAGAGCGGTGACAGATGATCGTCCAAAGCTTCCACAGTTTGCGCACTCCGTGCCACTGACACAGCCTGAACCACACCCCGATCCACATCCTATGAGTGGCACCACCGCGCCCCAGTGCCACTCCGAAGGGCACGTCCCCCAGGACTGTCGTCGACAGGTGCCTGTCAATCCCGAGGGTGGGGACCAGCTCGAGCCTGGCTAGTCACGCGTTGGCAGTGCGTGGGCAGCGAGCGCGCGCGCTCGCGCGCGGAACCCGCGCGCGACTCGGGGGGGGGGCGCGCGCTCCCTGAGCTGCCGCTGCCGCGTCGCCTGCGCCGGCGACGTTCGCGGCCACCGCCGCCGTCCTGCCCCGAGGGAGAGGCCGTGCTGAGGCGTGCCTCTGGGCAGGGCTGCGCACAACGAGAGAGCCGTCGGGCGACGAGGGGGAGAGCGGGAGCGAGCCCAGGCGTCCGATGGCTCGTGCCTCGTGCGACGTGTGGGCCCCCCCCCGAGCCCCTCGGTGCCCCTCACCCGGGGCTGGGTTCTCGTTTTATGTTCGAAGTCCGCAGGGCCCGAAACACAGAGGAAGCATCCATACAACAACACATGCCGATATCGCGAAAAGGCACTGGCACTGAAAAATCCAGCGAAAAACTGTTCCAGAGGCCTCCGGATGCCCCATGGGACATCTGAACGGGTGGCACGAATCACAAAGGTTACCAGGGGCAGGATGAACAAGGGGTACAAAAACGCGGGGAAGAGATGGGGAGTGAGGGGCAGAGGATAAGTGAAGCATCCTGCTTCCAGCCCTCTTTGTTAGCATCCCTTCCGCGAGCGGCAGTGGTGACGGCGTTTGGGCCCATCAAACCCACAGGCATTCGGGCAACGCTGAAAGGTGCCCCAACCGCCTTCTCAGCCCCTTCTGAACCAGTGGAGTATGAGAGACGGACGAGCGGCTGCCAACAGCGCTACGCCATCCGCCTGGGAGAACGCGTTGGGTTCCTATGCTAACGCATGTACTCGTGCTAGGGTGTTGACGTGCGTCACCGTACGCACGCCCGCACCCTAGAATGACGCTGTGGACAGAAGCATTGGACGGGACAGCGCGGGTCTCCGAACAACTTAAAGGACGGCGCGAGTCTCCAGATGGGAGCACGAAGAAGAGGGAGAGGCGGATTGGACAGTGAGAAAATGGAAGGTTGGGGTTTGGGGAGGAGCCTCGACTCTCGGATCGCCTGGTACACCTAAAGGATGGCCTGACCGTTTGGGAGACGATGTGCCTTGCGACTGAGCCTGAATGCCTACTCTGACACTGCTCTGCAAGGTGTGTTCTCTGCGAGTGACTTTTTCTAGATCGTTGGTCGTAACAATCATGGCTCTGTAACGCGCGGCGTCGGCGACCCCCCCCCAAGCGGCTCAGCACAGCGCCAGACTAGCGAGTGACGACAACGTCTCCTGGTCCAGCGGTACGCGATGCGATTGTACTGCCAGGAAGGCCTGCAGTCGGCCAACGCGCGCACGCAGTTCCCTGGCGCTGGCACCGCGCGCCGCTGCGGCGGACAGCGCGCGGGCATAGTCCGCCACGATGCGCGGGTACTCAGGCAGCAACTCCTCGTCCACCTCGCCCCCCAAGGCCTGGTCCACGGACAAAGGCAGCAGCTGCTCACGGTCCAGGGTGTCCAAGGCCGCCTCCACCTGACCCTGGCTGCAGAGAGAATGGAAGATCCGCGCGCTGAAAAGCTTCCTCGCCACGGCAAACTTTCGAGATGGCAGCGCGTACCGGTCCAGGTTGCGCTCGTACAGCGTGAAGAAGCGCTGGATGTCGCCGGCGAGCAGCCGCGCCTCGTCCGAGCTCTCAGCGGACGCCTCTCGCCAGAGGGGCAGACGCAGGCACCTGCACAGCACCTGCAGCGCCTCGCCGTGGCAGCCCCCCATGTGCAGCAGCCTCAGCGCCTCGCGGTACTGCCCGCGCTCGCTCGCCTTGCTGCCGGCCTTCGCGCAGAGCTCCGCGAACTCCGCGCTGCCGCCGAGGTGGTCCTGAGAGGGGCAGCAGTTGGCATTAGAATACATCTTCGAGTGTTCGCGAGGATACCTTGGATCAGCGCTGGACTCCCAGCCCTGGCGCGCGGGGCGCGCCAGGGGCGGCGCCAGAGGCGCTGCCAGGGGGTTCCAGCGCCCATCTAAGAGATCCGCGCGGACCTGCGAGCGTTTATTTAGCGCCGTTGTTTCTCCTTCGGGTCCTGCTGCAGCGCCCTCTCCAGCAGCCCTGGCTGGTGCTGGCCAGCGGCGTCCAGGGGCCCCAGCAGCTCGTCGCTGGCCAAGACGCCGGGGCCGAGCAGCAGCTGCTCCACGGCCTTCTTGCGCTCGTCCGCGTCCAGCGCCTGGAAATAGCGCAGGCGGTCGGCGCAGCGGAAGCGGCCGGCGTACTCGCACACCAGGGCCGCCACGTCCAGGGGCGGGCAGGTCCCAGCCGCCGGCGGGACCACGCCGAGCGTCCCGGCCTTGCGCAGCACGAGGGCCATGTGCAGCGCGGGAGCCTGCAGGCACCGGTCCTGCAGCCCCATCTGCTGGACGGCGCGCTCGAACTGCGCGGTGAGCAGCAGCGTCTTGACGAAGTTGAGCGTCTGGGCGATGCCGACGCCCAGCGAGGAGCCCCCCGGCAGCGCCAGCGCGGAGCTGGCGAACGGATCGACCAGCGCCCCCAGGCCGTGCGCTGCGCCGGGCGGAGGCGCGCCTGGCGCGCCGCCCGTGGGCGAGCGGGCTGCTGCCGCGGGGTCGTAGTGGGACTGGGGGCGCGCCGCCACGTCCTGCCTCACCGCCTCGAGCTGCTGCCGCAGGTCTGGCGCTGCCCGGCCAGCCTGCCCCAGCGCCAGATGCAGCCTGAACCAAAGCCAGTCCTCCACGGTGCCCTCCAGTCGCCGGCTTACCGGGAAGCTCTGCCCCTGCTTGGCGGCGCGCAGAACGGGCTGGGGCGACGGGTTTGGGGGGGTCCTTCTGAGAAGGCAGCAGGCTTCTTAATCAGATCCCTTCCGCGCAAGTTGTCCTCTGTGCCTCCTCAGAGAGCCTCCCCCCTCCCCCTCGCCTCCCCTCCAACCTGAGGGGCATCGATCGGGGGTACCGGCATAGGGGGGGATGCATCGACCTGGAATCGGCGATACATCGTCGGCAAATCGGCGATAGGCCCGCGACGGCGAAACCGCACCTTCCAGGGCGGGGTGGGGCTATCGGGCCCCTATCGGCGATTCATGGGTGATTCGGGGTCGATGCATCCACCTTATGCCTGCCCACCCCAGCGTTTCCCCCGATCCCCTCACAGCCCACCTGCAGCAGCGACACCAGCGCGTCCCGGAACGGGCCCCCGGCCCCGCCCGGGTCCGCGGAGAGGAGGTCGGCTTGGTCCGCGGGCGCGGGCACGTCCGGGGCGCCCGCCGTCGGAGCCGCGGCCCGCAGCCGCCCCGCCATCTGCCGGCAGGCCGCGCGGAACGCGGGGCATCGCCCAGACCCTGGCGCGCGCTCCGGGAGCTCGGACAGCAGCTCCGCGAAGCCCGCGCGGGCCGCGACGTAGGCCGCGTACCAGACCTGTGGCGGGCACGGCGGCCGGGGCTGGCGTACCAGACCTGCGCCTCCGTGCAACGGCAGGCCGGGACTGGAGGCACGCCGCGAGGACCGCCGTCGCCAGTCGGCCGGCATCGTGGCCACTGTCACCGCCGCCGCCGCCACCGGTCGTCAGTCATCGCCGTGGCCACCGTCGTCGTTGCCCTCGCCGTCGTCGCGGAATCGTTCGGGAGAGGGGAGCGCCCGAGCCTGTTCTTCTGCCGAACGGGCCAAATCCCCCAGGCCGTCTGGGTGCAGGTGCTGTTTTTATTTAGCATACATCTCTCTATATATGTATGCATGTATATGTGTATATATAGCTCTTAACCGGACGAGGCTCGCTCTCGACCCGCAAACCAAACAAGTACACAGATATATATATATATATATATACACACCACTGCTCTTTGTAAATAGCCCCGCTCGACTGGCCGCGGTGACCAGCAACAAAGAGGGCACCATCCCACTACCCTTCACAAGAACCATGCTAAGTGCGCGTGGCGGCGGCGGTAAAATGTAAATCATGAGCGGACACACGGCGATCACTTTACATTGCTTGTTGACAAAATGCCCTGTATATGAGCATAATTTCGGACGTGCTTTCGCCAACTATCCACATCAAAAACATATTCAAAAAGACAGTGCGGGTGCACATATCAACCGTCCACTCCACAACTACTTGGCACTGGCTCGTATAAGGCACAATGGGGTGTCGCCATATTAACAGATGTGTGCGGTCACTTTCACTAGTGCACCTGCTTGCGTCGCGCACGTGGCGCACCTGTCGCGGCTGGAGCATGTGGCCCACATGGGGCACGTGGCGCATCTGGCGCACCAGGCGCGCCTGTCACGCTTGGGCCCCTTGGGTCACATGGCGCACCTGGTGCGCATGTCACACCTCGCAAGCGTCGTGCACCTGGCGTCTGTATGGGTTCTAAACCGCTGTCCATTTGATGGTGACCTTCGCCTACGCTAAGCATCAGGTGCTACGGGACGGCGGTCGGGAACGAGCGAGACAGCATGCGGCTTTCTGATCGGGAAACTTCAGCTTGTCGCCATGAATCAAACCTGCCCAACTTGACGGTCCCTCAACCAGGAAACATGAGCCCCCCTACCACCCAGGTCAACAACAACAACAACAGTACGATGTGCACGTGGCGTCTGAATCTTGGGCGGGACTCCAGTGAGCACCTTGCATGGGTTGTTGACAGGGGTGGCGGGGGTGTGAGCATATCTGTCCGCTGCAAGCTGCCCCACCATCCCAATCAAAAACCTGACCATCCGCCTCCACTTTAAAATGGCTCTTGTCGCGGATGGTCGAGGGGTAGACATATAGCCCGATGCGTGCTGCCACCTGCACTGGCGCATCTGGCGAAGTCTGTGCGCGTCGTCCACAAGGCACGACTGGAGCAGGTGTGGCACTTGACACACGTGGCGCACTTGGCGCATCTGGCGCACATGGCATTCTTGTGACCTTGGGGAACGCGTCACACAGCTGGCGCCTATATTGCTTCGCACTGGAAATCAGTATGGTGGCGACCTCGCCTTGGGCCTAGGCTGAGTCTCGGGTGCTACAGAACTTGAGGGAGGGCAGGTAGGAATGAGCGGGACAGTTTGTGGCGTTACCCTTGAGAACTCTATCACTGCTCCCTATTCATATACACCCCCTCCCCCAGGCGACTGGGAGCCAACCCGAGTCAACGAGGGCACCTCCCCACCATTCCTTGCAAAAAACAATACGCAACACACTATGCCTCCAAATTCGGAGCATGCGCGGCGAACCCGATGCGGTCTCCCCCCACCTTCACCAAACAATGCAGAGTACACTTGGCGTCGGCGGCGGCTGCGGCGGCTGCGGCGGGGGCAGCGGCTGCGGGGGCAGCGGCTGCGGCGGCGGCGGCGGTGGCGGCGGCGGTGGCGGCGGCGGCGGGGGCGGCGGCGGCGGCGGCGGTGGTGGCAGCGGCAGCGGTGGCGGCAGCGGCTGCGGCGGTAGCGGCTACGGCGGCGGCGATTCGGCAGCGGAGGCGGCGGTGGCGGCGGCGGGCGGCGCGGTGGCGGCGGCGGCGGTGGAGGCGGCGGCGGCGGCGGCGCGGCGGCCGCGGCGGCGGGCGGCGGCGGCGGCGGAGGCGGCGGCGGCGGCGGCGGCTTCGCCCCCAGTAGCTGCCCATCCAAAGCCGACTGTTGAATATGCTGCGGCTCGGGCCAGGCTCGGGTGCTACGTATGTGTTGGGAGGGCGGGTGGGAGCGAGCGAGACGGCTTGCGGGCGGGGAGGGGGTAACTTGATCATTCCCCCTACCCTTCACCTGGATCTGCCCGGGGGGAGGCCTCTCAGATCATCCAAGACGTCCCCTGGTAGCCCAACATGGCCTTCACGGTGGCACCAGATGGCCCAGCATGGGTAAACTTTGCTCCCAGCATGCCGCCTAAAAGCTCCCAGCATGGTTAAACTTTGCTCCCAGCATGGTTAAATGTTGCTCCCAGCGTGCCGCCTAAAAGCTCCAGTGCCTCCCCAACACGGCTCCCGGCGGCCACGCGGCCTCTCAAGGAGGCGCCCGAGAGGCCAGCACCGATTCCAGCACCCTATGGTGCTTCTGTTGCTTGTGCCGCCTCGCCTTCTCGCTCACGATGGGCTTCTGAGGCGTCCAGGTGGCTCCAACATCACCCCTAAAGAGCCCCAACAGGGGTCATAGGGCTCCAAGGCAGCCCCAAAGGGCCGCAAAAGCTGTACAAAACAGAAGAGGCGCACGGGGGCCCCAAGAGGCCCCCAAGAGCGCCCCCTATGCGGGAGCTCACCTGCGGCCCCCGCGAGGCGCCCGCTCGGCGTCGCCGGGCCCATTTCTGCACACACACACACACCTCGCTCGTATCGCGCCCCCTCAACCTGCGGCACTGGTGAGGGCACCCGCACAGCGTCGCCACGCTCATTTCGGCATGCCACTTGCGCGAATCCTCAAGCGGATCGTGCCCCATCGAGAGCTCCACCTCCAGCCCGAGAGAGAGAGAGAGCGAGAGAGATTTCGCATGAAGTGTTCCCGCCGATGCCTGAACACCAATCACGCGGATATCGTTCGCGCCTGGAGCGCCAACTCCATCGACCCTGCTGGGGCTCGCAATACAAGAGGCGAGTGCCACTCCTTGTGCTACAATGAGCGGGATAGCTGCCCTTTTACCCACACATTCACCACTTCCCACCATGTGTTCATCGACCATGGTCTGCTGCTTTTGTCCGTTCCCATCAGGAACACTACTTAGTTCCATTCGCAATGCAGTAATATGTTTGGGCCGTTCGCCAGGCTGGTCTCCCAACCCTCCTGGTGGTCCCCGGTCCACAGAGGCCCCGAGGCTGCGGTAGGGGTCTGCGGGTTGCCTGACAGCCCTGGATAGCGAGAAGGAGAGGACGAGGGAGGGTCCTCCTCCTCCGCCTGACGAAATCCTTCTCCTCCGCCTCCTCCTTCTGTCCCGCCTCCCGAAGATTCCGGCTTCCCCGCGCAGGAGTCGCAACCGAGGCTCCAGCTGCATGACCCTCCCCGTGGGCGGAAGAAGAGAAGGAGGGAGCCAGGACGAGGGGCCAGGACGAACACAGGGGACGAGACGGAGACTGGAGAAGAAGCGCACGAGAAGGTAGAGCCGGATGGCAGGAGCAGGAGAGAGCAGCGAGGGGAAGGACGCAGGGCGCGCGGGGGCGTGCGCCCCTCAGGGCGCGAGCAAAACGAAACAAAGGGAAGCGAAGTGGAAGGGGAACACGAGAGGCTTCCCACCAGCATTAGGTCGGGCGTGTTCCCCTACAGGAGGATTTCGGAGAACAAATGAAGAACATATCCAGAAAATACTAAAACATATCAAACATGGAGCAGCAATCGTCCCAATACTATTTCTTTACTATTTTTGAATCTTCTTCCTCCTGTAGAGGGACAGGCCCGACTTAACACCAGCACCTCCCGCGCCATACGCCCACCCCACGCCCAACAGACCCCCCCCCTGAGTCATGAACAAAGACACGACGGCTGGTTTCCCCCAATTTCGGCCTCTCGGGGCCCTTATCGGGCATCGGGAGCGTCCGTCAAAAAACGGTTGAGGATGAAACACCAGTCAAGGGGAATGGGTCGAGACCTCTGGGGGTCGACGCCATGAGAAATTAGCCTGGCGAAGGACCCAACCATATGCAGTTGAGAGTACCGCAATTGTGAATATCTTCTTCGGTGGCGCTCCCTATGGGGCCACGAGCCGTATGAGGGGTGTGCCGAAATGCGTGGCAGTGTACACAACACGAACGAAGACGATAGGTCCGAATATGAAAGCTTGAGCGCGTGCGAGTCGGATCGCGAGCGAGTCTGATTATGAATGAATCTGCGCGCGATTGATTCTATTCGCATGAATGCGTGCATGGATACGCCCAGTGTAAATGTATGTATACGACTGTGAACAGTTTGGGTCTGCGTGACTCTCGGTACTCGTGACTCTGAGCGTCGCCTCTGCAGGGGGCTTCCCTGGGAACCCCGACGGCAGCGCCCGCGCGCCGCGACGCCCATGTCGGCACGCCACACACCTGGTGTGCGGGACGCATGCGGACGGCAGCACTGGGGCCTTCGGTGGAGCTCCCTGTGGGGCCACGAAACGTGTGAGGGGTGTGCCGAAATGGGTGTGCGGGACGCATGCGGACGGCAGCCATGGGGCCTTCGGTGGAGCTCCCTGTGGGGCCACGAAACGTGTGAGGGGTGTGCCGAAATGGGTGTGCGGGACGCATGCGGACGGCAGCACTGGGGCCTTCGGTGGAGCTCCCTGTGGGGCCACGAAACGTGTGAGGGGTGTGCCGAAATGGGTGTGCGGGACGCATGCGGACGGCAGCCATGGGGCCTTCGGTGGAGCTCCCTATGGGGCCACGAAACGTGTGAGGGGTGTGCCGAAATGGGTGTGCGGGACGCATGCGGACGGCAGCACTGGGGCCTTCGGTGGAGCTCCCTATGGGGCCACGAAACGTGTGAGGGGTGTGCCGAAATGGGTGTGCGGGACGCATGCGGACGGCAGCACTGGGGCCTTCGGTGGAGCTCCCTGTGGGGCCACGAAACGTGTGAGGGGTGTGCCGAAATGGGTGTGCGGGACGCATGCGGACGGCAGCACTGGGGCCTTCGGTGGAGCTCCCTATGGGGCCACGAAACGTGTGAGGGGTGTGCCGAAATGGGTGTGCGGGACGCATGCGGACGGCAGCCATGGGGCCTTCGGTGGAGCTCCCTGTGGGGCTACGAAACGGGACTGTAGCTGGGCCACGGTGTGAAACGCAAGGAAGAGGGGGAGGAGGGAGGCGGAGGAGGAGGAAGGAGGAAGGAGACGCGGGGCACCGTCTCTTCAAAACGAGGACCCAACACCACAGGATGGTTGGGAAAAATCATGACGTCTGGGGTCAGGGTGCGCCCAGCCCACGCCCCACAGACCCACACACCGATACCCGCCATTTCAGCAAAGGGGAATGGAAGTTGGGGCTTCAGGACGTCGGTGGCACTGCCACCTGGTGCGCCCGGCGCGCAATCCTGCAGACGTCGGGGAGGGGTGGAGTCGTGCAACCAGGCGCCGGAGACATGAACGTCGATGCTGCGCTGACGTCGTGCTGAGGCTTGCCGCATGCAGCCAGATACTTCCTTCGCTGTATGCACATTCAACTCTCGCGTAAGCTGTGCCCTTCCCCTGGGGTCTGGGAAGACCTGTGTGACGTCGGACGGGAAGGCGTCGGACTCGAACCGAGCCCGCCCGAAAGCGCACACGAGCGCCCAGTTGTCGGGCACCCCTCCGAGCGGCGAGCCGGATGCGCTGTAGACGGAAGCCTTCACCTCGTCCGCATACCGGCCCTGAAGGTACCTGCCGTCGGCCGCGCGCGAGCGCGTCGTCGCGCGCGCATTTCAAAACCAATCAGAAACGGCCAAAGAATTCAAAATCGAGTGCACCGAAAACATCTACAATCAGAGCGAATGGGCGTTCACGGTCATGCACTGTTCCTGGGCGCGTGGCTGAAGTGAAATTATGCGGTGCAGATTGATGTTCTTGTTGTTGATGATGATATTGTTTGTTATCGTCGTCCCCCCCGCGACCTGGCCCGCGACCCACCCGCAACCCACCCGCGACCCACCCACGACCCACCCGCGACCCATCCGCTACGCACCCGCGACCCACCCGCGACCCACCCGCGACCCTCCCGCAACCCACCCGCGACACACCCGCGACGCACCTCGCGATCCATCCGCGACCCACCCGCGACCCACCCGTTCACTCTTATCCGCAACTGCGGGCTGCTATGCAACACAACAGGGTCTGTCAAAAAACTATGCGCGCCGTTCTTGCGGATTCGGATGGAAACCACTGGATTCAAGACAACAAAAATCAGATGCAACCAAGCGGACCTCTCGCGAGCGAATGGCAGAGGGGGGGGGGGCACGATGCCACGCGAAGAACGAAATGCGGGCCAATCGCGCCCACCGGCCGCGCGCGCATGTCTAAATCTTGCCGAAACATTTTATCGCCAGCACGGGGACACAATCATCGTCAGCGGCGTCGTCAGCATCGGCTCCGTCATTGACATTGCCGTCGTCATCGTGATCGTCGCCGCCACCATCGCTACTTTGATCATCGTGTCCGCCGTTGTCGACATCGCCATGATACCGCGGCCGCCCGAATCACCGACTCGCACTGAAGTGCCCGAGCGTCGGCGCGGCCAGCGAAATGTGTTAGGAACTGCCTCAACGGTCAGCGCCAACGCGGCCCCAGTCGCGACAGACTCGCGGGCCGCTTTTCACGCGAGCCTGCGCGCGCTAGCGCGGCCGCAGCGATGCGAAAACCAGCACCGAGCAGTCGTCGCAATCGCCGCCGCATGGGTTTGAAAACCAAGTTGCGGGTGGGCAAGTAGGATGATTACGCGAGCAGCGGAATGCACAAATTCGTGCGAACATAGATGAGCTTTGCACTCTAGCACTCTAACAAATAATTTGGATCAACCACCCCCTGGATGATCGATACACCCTGGGGATATCCAGTGTACATCACAGAACGCCCCATCATTCAATCTAGAAATGAACTCGTATCAACCCAGCCAAACTGGTCTCGACCACCACCACCCACCCTCCCCTGCAAAAAAAAACATATTGCACGCACATTCGTTTATCACACAAATTCAATGTACAGAAACCCCTCGTGCAAACATGAAACGGAAAACGCACTCGCGCGTCGTCGCGCGTGCGTCACGTAAGGATGTCCACATTGAGTGTCTCGAACACAATTTACAAACACATAATTTCGCAATGTGGTCTTGCAAACAAGGTCTGCGCGCTTTCGCGACGTCTTGAATGAATGGTGTTTTCAACAGTTTCAGGACATTCGACCAAACGGGCCCCGCGTACGAGCATGACGAAATCAGTCGGACGCCCTTGCGCGCGTGCTGATTGGGGGGAACGATCCCTGAACGCGCCACCCACGCCCGTAGACCGTAGGTCGCGCGCGCATGTCGGATTTTTGCCAGAACCTCCATCGACGCGACGCGAAAACCATCATCATCATCATCATCATCATCATCATCATCATCATCATCATCATCACCATCATCATCATCATCATCACCACCACCATCATCATCATCATCATCATCATCATCATCATCATCATCATCATCATCATCATCATCATCATCATCATCATCGGCGTGATCACCATCGCCGCCGTCAGTGGCCATACCGTCGTCATCGTCGTCGTCGTGGCCAGCACCGCTCCTTCTATACTCGCGCCTGCCGGTGCCGACGTCGCCATGGCGACGCGGCCGCCCGAATCACCGACTCGCACTGGTGTGCCCGAGCGTCGGCGCGGCCTGCGAGACATGCTGGGAAGTGCCCCAACGGTCACCGCCAACGCGGCCGCGTCCGTCGTGCCAGACTTGCTGGCCGCCGCTCTGCGTGCGAGCTTGTGCGAGCTAGCGCGGCCGCAGCGATGCGCCAGCCAGAGCCAAGCAGTCACCGCAATCGCCGAATGCGCTCTGCAAACCAAGTTGCGGGTGGGCGGGCGGGGTGACTGCGCGAGCAGTGGCACTGACAACATCCAATTCGGCAGGGCGAACTGCGCCGCATAGATCGCACAACAGAAAATGCACGGCATACAGCAGACCACCAAAATTTCACAGCACAACTTGCTTCACGCTGATTGTGCCACACTGGGTCTGTTTTCTGACAGAAGAATTCAGACCGCCCCCCGCCACCCCCAGAGTTATCCGGGCCTCCTGGGATGTGCAATTTACATACGATTCTGCCTCACCGTGCGTTCCACTTGCGAACTCATACTATCCCAGCCAAACCAGCATCGACCCCGCCTCATCCTTGTCAAATGCAACCATGCGCCAACATTCGCTTACCATACTATCAGGTGCCAATAAAGTCTTGCAACGAAGATGGAACAAATACACGCGCGTGCGTCGTCGCGCGCGCGTGCCAGATTCCTTTTCAAACCCTGGGAGGTTGCGCGAGGATTTCAAAATCGGCTGCCCCGAAGCACCATTCAATAAACAAATATTGTTGCATGATTGCGCATCGCAGAAATTATGCGCGCGCTCTTGCGAATCCATGAGACAATCATGAGTTCTGTGGCATGCGACCGAACGGGCCTCTCGCGGGCGCATGTCGAAATCATTGAGAGAGCGTGATCCACCGCCGCTTTACCGTGAAAAAAATCCCCCCTCTTCCTCCGGAACCCAGGGGTCCCCTCCCCGCCTCCGAAAATCCCCCTTTCCCCTGCAAGCCCTCCCTCCCCCCCCCTGTTCCAGAAAACTGGGAGGAGTCACTACCAGTTCGAACCCCCCTCCCCCCCCCTCCAGAAACCTCCAGAAACCGGGAGGGGGGGGGGGCACTGCCGGTTCGAACCCCCCCCTCCTCTCCTCGCTGCTGGCAAAAGACTTCCGGAACCCCACCACCGTCCTCACCGCCGCCCTCACCACTGTCCCCACCACTCCCCCACTGTCCCCACCACTGTCCCCACTGTCCCCACCAATACCCCACCCACCGTCGCACTGTCCCCACTGTCCCCGCCACTGTCCCCACCACAGCCCCACTCTCCCCACTGTCCCCTTTGTCCCCATCACTGTTCCACTGTCCCCACTGTCCAACTGGGCTGTCCCACTGTTCCCACCACTGTCCCATTGTCCCCACTGTCCACACCACTTTCCCCACTGTGCCACTGTCTCGTTGTCCCATCACCGTCCTTACCACCGCCATCACCATTGTCCCCACCACAACCGTCCCCACCACTGTCCCACTATCCCCACCACTGTCCGAGTGTCCCCTCACCACTGTCCACACCACCACCGTCCCAACAACTGTCCCACTGTCCCCACCCCTGTCCCACTGTCCCCACTGCTCCCACCACTGTCCCCACTTTCCTCACCAGTGCCCCCACCACTGTCGAACTGTCCCCGCTGTCCCCACCACTGTCCCCACCACGATCCCACTCTGCCCAATGTCCCAACTGTCCCCACCACTGGCCCACTGTCCCCACCTGTCCCACCGTTCCCACTGTCCCCACCGCTGTCCCACGGTGCTGCCCCACTGTCCACACTGTCCCCACCACTGTCCCATTGTCCCCACTGTCCACACCACTCTCCCCACTGTACCACTGTCTCATTGTCCCACCACCGGTCTTACCACCGCCCTCACCACGGTCCCCACCACAACCGTCCCCACCACTGTCCCACTATCCCCACCACTGTCCGAGTGTCCCCTCACCACTGTCCACACCACCACCGTCCCAACAACTGTCCCACTGTCCCCACCCCTGTCCCACTGTCCCCACTGCTCCCACCACTGTCCCCACTTTCCTCACCAGTGCCCCCACCACTGTCGAACTGTCCCCGCTGTCCCCACCACTGTCCCCACCACGATCCCACTCTGCCCAATGTCCCAACTGTCCCTACCACTGTCCCACTGTCCCCACCATTGTCCCCACCACCACCGTCCCCACCACTGACCCACTGCTGTCCCCACCACAACCGTCCCCGCCACTGCCCAACTGTCCCCATTGTTCCCACCACTGACCCACTGTCGCCACAGTCCCTACGACTGACCGCACTGTCCCCGCCAGTTCCCTCACCACTGTCGCACTGCCCCCTCTGTTCCCACCACTGTCCCCACCACGGTCCCACTCTTCCCACTGAGTGACTGTCCCCACTCCCCACCACCATCCCCACCACCGTCCAAACCAATCTCCCATCCGGAGTGGGAGAGGAGGAAAAGTCGTTGCGGCGAGAAGGGGGGGGGAGGGGGGAGGCTCGAACCGGTAGTGACCACCCCCCGGTTTTCCAGGAGGGGGGGGGGAGGGGTTCAAACCGGTAGAGTGACCCCCCCCCTTTCATGATGGACGGGGGTGGGGAGGGGGGGGGATTGAACCCCCCAATGACCCCAGTCAATTTTCGAGAGGAGAGGGGGGGACGGGTTGGAAACCCCAGTGATCCCCCCCGGTTTTCTGCCAGCAAGTAGAACACGCTCTTTCAAATCATTCGAACGCCCTTGCGCGCATGCTGGGTTGGGGGGGGCGGGGGGGGGGCGATCCCTGACAAACACTGCCATGCGGGCCAGCCACTCGCGCGCGTCGGCTGCGCGCGCACGCCCAACTCCTGCAAAAACCTCCCTCGCAAACACGTGGGCAACATCATCGTCATCGGCGTGATCGGCGTCGGCGCCGTCTTTGGCATTGTCGCCGTCAATGTCAATCGGCACACATACAGTTATATATTTACATACGCGTATATATTTACAGCTGTGGGCAAACATGTTTTATATGTATACATGCAGATGATTATACGTATTGATGTCCTGATATGCGTGCCCACTCGTGAGTTTAACTGTGCGTCCAATGCAAACGAAAAGATGGCGTCGCCCAGCAAACTCCTTATCGCCCGAGGGGTGGTCTATGCGGCACTGGCAAGTGACTTGCGGCCTATACACGGCATAGAGCAGGAAATATCCAATAGACTGGGCCCCACAGGTTTCCTCCCATACTTGGCACCCCATAGACTGCACCCAGTGTATTGCCTCACAGGCCCACATACTTGTTGCGCGACATAGACTGCACCCCACAAGCTGTGCCGTACAGACTGCACAGAGCAACTGCCCACGTGCTGATGTAATCTTCTCCCGCGCAAGATGAAACAAACACATCCGTGATCCTCGACCCTTCATGTCGACGGAGAAACGGCGGCATAAACATACGCTGTCAGAGCTCAGCGCGCATGTCTTAGATCGGCATATGGCCCCCTCCTTAGCGCGCGTAGCGTGCCAGGGGCGGCGCGAGAGGCGCCGCTCGGGGGGGCCCAGCGCTGATCCAAGGAATGCTCGCGGAGATCCGAAAAGTTCTATGTATGCAATTTGTCTTGCTCGATCCCCCTCCCCGTCCGGGGAACGAGATGGACCCGCAGACGACCGCCTGCGGCGTCTTCTCCAGGACGTGGTACAGGATGCTCCAGCACTCGGCGAGCTCGCCGCGGTAGGCCGGGCAGCCCTCGCAGCTGAGGTTGCAGATCCGCTGGAGCAGCGCGCGCCCGACGGGCTCCTGAGCGGGGCTGCGCGCGGTCCTCCTCCTCTTCATTCCTCCTCCTCCTCCTCCTCCTCCTCCTCCTCCTCCTCATTCCTCCTCCTCCTCCTCCTCCTCCTCCTCCTCCTCCTCCTCATTCCTCCTCCTCCTCCAAACGGTGGGCCCGTGGACGGCCTACGCGCGCGTCCTCATCGCCCTCTTCTCTTAGCCAAGCCGTGGGGGCGGTGCGCCCGCGGCGTCCGAGGGCCGGCGCTTGGCCGCAGGCGGCCACGCACGGACTCGCGGGTTGGCCTCGCCGCGCAGCCGACTGCCAGTCAGGCAGCGCAGCCTCGGCCATGAGGAACCTCATCGCCTTCTTCCCTCCCTCCTCCTCCTCCTCCTCCTCCTCCTCTTCTCCTCCTCCTCCTCCTCCTCCTCCTCCTCCTCCTCCTCCTCCTCCTCCTCCTCCTCATAGGCGCCTCCTGGTCATAGGGCGGTCGGGCCTCCATGCCGGGACAAGCCCTGCCCCCATGAAGCACCGACTCGCGTCTGCTTCACGTCAATAGGCACGCGGGCCCTTTCCATACATCTGCTTCTTGACTGCAGGAGCCAACCGCCCGCAAGGCTGCGCAGTCCGCCGGTGCCTCGAGCTGGTAGGGATGGGGGCCAATGCAAACTGGGGTCAGGCAAAGCGCCAGATCTTGCAGGATCCGGCAAAGCCAGGGTTGCATTGACCCGGGCTAGCGCGCAGGATCACGCAAGATCCTGCAAAGTTCCTGCATATATCGGGGGCGTCCAAAAGTGGGGGGGGGCGCAACTCGTGGCCGGCGGCATGTGCGCGGCCCCGGGGGACCGGGGACGTATTGAAATAAGAAGAGGCGCCATAAACTCTGGAGAGATCTCATGGCCCCCGCCATGAAACCCGCCCCCCATAGTCATCACCCCCCTCTTGGCCGCTCCCGATCCTGCATTGGTCCCGCGCAGCCTGATCTACCCGGGTCTGCAGTGACCCGGGCCAGCGGTTTGCAGTGACCCAGGCCAGTGGGAGGCCGAGCATCCTCCTCCTCCTCCTAAGAGCGCCGGCTCAATAGTCCGCCCCTCGTGGTGCGAGCAGGCGCCGGGCAGCCCCTCTTTCGGACGGCCCCTTTCGGCTGGCGTCCTCCCTCCCTTAACCTGCGTGGGGGACAGCCAACAAACCACATACGGCGAGGGCATCGTATACGGAACCATTGGATAAGGGTTCCAGGGTCTAGCAGGTGGAACTTCCATCGTGGTTTGGCCATGGATGCCACCGCCGCCCTCATCAGATGGGGAATCCTCCAGTGTCTGCGGCCTCCTGGGCGCATTCCGTAACCAACGCCCCCACCGTAAGCATGAACTTCCGGAGGTCCGCGCGGGCTTCTCGGATCGGCGCTGGGCCGCCTGACGGCGCCTCGGGCGCCGCGTCTGGCGCGCTCCGCACGCCAGGGAGGGGGGGGGTCCAGGGCCGATCCGAGAAATCCTCGCGGGCCCTCGGAAATTTATGCTTCTGTCATTGTTCGTTCCCCGATGCAATGGGGCCGCCGAGAGAAGGAGCGCAACATTTAACGACGAAGCCCCCGTGTTGGCACCAGGAGAGCCTGGGTGCGCGAGGGGGGTCAGAGGCACAGTCACAGAAGGACCTCAAGAACACCGAGCTCCGTTCGTGCCCAGACTGGTCCTTCTTTCAGCGTCTTTCACCGAGCGCGTTCCACTACTCGCAGAGTGCCGACTCGCAAACGTACGAACAAATGTGTTCGCTTCGACGAGATTTCTCGTAGATCCCCCGCGGCGGAGCCAGGGCATTTGCGAGTAGTTACTTTGCGAGTATCGGAACGCGCTCGTCTAGTCTTGACTGTACTAGGGGAAACAACAATGACATAAACGTGAAAACTCGGAGGTCCGCGCGGATTTCTCGTATCGGCGCTGGGGCCGAGAAATCCGCGCGGATCTCCGAGTTCTTATGTCTTTGTCATTCTTCGTTCCCCTATGCACCCACCCCCCGCAGCCTCTGTAGGGGGCCCCAGCGCCGATCCGAGGAATCCCCGCGGACCTCCGAGCTATTTTGTGTATGCCATTGTCCGTTTCCCTCACTTCAGCGTCTTGACTGCACCCGCCCCTCGCACCCACACCCTCTGGGACCTGGAGCCGTGGGGGCTCCGCCGCGGCGCGCGGCGGGCAGGCCGCGCTTTCATGCAGCCGCAGCCGAGCCCAGGCAGCGAGAGTCGAGGCTCGCGACACACACACACACACACACACACACACACACACACACACACACACACACACACACACACACACACACACACACACACACACACACACACACACACACACACACACACACACACACACACACACACACACACACACACACACACACACACACACACACACACACACACACACACACACACACACACACACACACACACACACACACACACACACACACACACACACACACACACACACACACACACACACACACACACGCAGGGCGCTCCTGATGGCCTTCGAGGCTTTGCAGTCGAAGCGCTGCCATACGGAACCCTACGTAAGGAACGATGCTCCTTATCCCATTCGTGAAACTTCGACTTCCCAGAGTAAACTAAAGACAACCTGAGAAAAACTGAAACACGATAAAGGAACACTGAGCCCCTCCCAAACGAAAAGGGGTTCCTTCTTCAGCGGCCAGACTGTAGAGCATGGGGTGTCGCCCCACGAGCGTCAGCGAAGCGCTGGCGGATGTGCTGGCCGTGAACGCTCCAGAGTCAGCACTTCGTCCTCCATTGACCCCTGCCGCTGCGGAAACCACGACCGAGCCCGCGGCATCACTGCCAATCTCTGCTTCGAATGCACCGTGATGCCCGTGATGCGTCCTCGGTCCACCCGGCCCATGTCACCTCCCTGGCGACCCATGGCCGGAAGCAGAAGAAAAAAATGAATAGGGAGGAAAGCGTTTGCCATCCATGCTCTTCGGATTTCGCTGTAACGCCGCGGGCGAAGCTCGCGGGGTCGCCGGGAGGTCCAAAAGGCATGGGCCCGCCCTGGCTCTGCAGCGGCGGTGCGGGCCAGCTGCGCCTTTGGACGGACGGCCACCACTGCAGCACGAGGGGCAACTGGTCGAACAGTTGGCGGAGCTGTTATCACTTGTCTCGAGAGTTGGCACTCGTTGCACAGAGACTGCTTCATTTCAAAGTTAATGTTGCAGCGCCTTGCGAGATACGGCGCCCACTTCGATGAGTGATCGAATGCGCAACGCGGAAGATGGTGCGACCTTCGTTGGCCATGGAGTTACGCTCATCCCTTGTCTTTCCTTGGCTATGCCACTTGAAAGACGGCGCAATTTTCGACGGAGGTTGGGGATGTCGTGCTCTCAGTAGCATCGCCACTTGGGAGACGGCGCTCGTCTCCTGGCAATGTAACAGGCTTGTCCTTGCTGACTTTTACGGCTGGGCAGAAGTACATGATCTGCGTGGTATGATGCCTCGCTCTGCTTGAAGTACGGCGAACATGTTTTGACTACGCGTCGACCGAGAGGAGCCTCGACTCATGTTGGGGCTCCTCTCTGTTAGTATGACGCCATGATGGCGTCCATTATATTCCAATCCTCATCCTCCTCCTTCCCTTCCTCGCTCACCACCCTTGCTTTCCGCGGCATCCTCACTCTTGCCTCTTGTCGCCTCCGCGCTCCACTGCTCGCAATCCCTTATCCCCCCATCTCTCTGCCCTCATTCTCCCTTCCTTCGTGCTTTCTATCCTTCCGTTCTTGCTCCCTCGTGCCTCCTCTCTGCTCCCTCCCCATTATCGCTCCCTCTACCGCCCCTCATCCATGCAAACGCCCCCTCTTCTCCTCATCCGCCTCCTCCTCGCTTTCACTCAGCTAAACGGATGGGTGCATGGAGATCCAAGGGCGCTTCGCCTTGCTCCTGCCCTGCATGCCGCCGGAGAGCCACAGAAATCTCTGGAGATCCCCTGCGACATCCGGACGACCGAACGATGTCCAAGACACACACGCGCACACACACGCACACGCGCACATGTACAGGCACATATATCTATACACAAATATATGTCTACAGAGGAGATTGTTGGAGTGAAGCCCAGACAATGGTTCTACAAGTACCAGTTGCGCGATATGGATGGGGCAATCTATGTGTTGCAATCTAAATGGTGCCCTCTGCGCTGTGCAGTACATGTTGTCAGATTGTGTATACACATATTTATATATATATATATATATATATATGCACATGCGTTAATGTAGATGTATCTCGAAGTGTTGTGCAATCAGTGTAGTGCAAACGATGTGGTGCAATCAATACGTCTATATATAGGTGGTGCAACACCAATCGATGTTGTGCAATCCATTTTCTGTAGATGCATGTCATTGATTCTTTAGCTAGCGATTTGGCGCCACTCCTCACCGCATAACTTGTAAATGTCTGCGCGTTTGAACTCGTAGCCCTTCGCGGATTGCTGGGAACCATGGCAACAACGCGAAATGCTTGAAGTTGGGACGCTGAGGAGGAGCGATGCTTCTGATACCGATGGATACGTAATCCAACTTTCTGTCCCTGATAGCCGCGCTTGCACGGGCACTACCCTGTTCTTTGTACTTCTTGGACCTCTCTGGTGTGAATATTGCGCATTCTCAGAAGCTGTCACGTACTGCAAATTATCAACATGGTTATTTCCTCGGTCAGAATCTTTGTGGTGTACAAGGTGTCGCTCCGAATCTGGCGCCGGACCTAGGAAGGCACGGGCGACAAGTCGGTGCACGCGAAGAGCAGACAAACGGCCGTACAAAGAAGCACAGACAACTCGATATCCTGACGCGGCAAGACTGCCCCTTGAAATCAAGCTCTTTGAATTCTTGACGCGCCCATGAGAGCTGACTTCCCAACTCGTGAGCGGCAAACCCGAACAAGGACACAATGCCGTTCTCCATTCCTCGCCAGGTCGTGCAATAGACTCTGCATATCGGAATTCGACGCCTCCCACTGAAGTCAGCTTTCCCTTGCAGCAAGAAAAAAAGTTACTCGCACAGACCTTCAGACTGATCGCAGCGCCCTTTATAGAATCAAAACGAGTCCACGTCTGTGATCCACAGATCCTTGCGAAGACAGGCTTTGAGTTTGCTTCTGTGCTTGACCTGCGCTGCAGAAGCTTGGTTCTGAAATGATGCAGCATATTTTGCGCTCGGGACACGTACTCCAAATTGTCCACTCGATTGTTGCTCTTGTTTCCGTCAATGTGATTCACTTCATAACGATCACCACCTGACGGAGGTCCAATAAATGTGTGGGCGACAAGACGATGAACCAACATGCTCTGATAACCTATACCCGTAATATGATAGCCGTCCGGCTGTCTAGTTCCCCAATGGATAATTCCATGCTTGTTTTGCACTCGACCATACGAGCTCACTCCTAGAAAACCTAGAGGTACAGTGCAACATAATCTGCGACAGAAATTAGGTCTACGCCATGATCTGTGCAAAACCGTCATACTCTGAGACCGACTTGCCATCCAACCAACTGTACCGACTTCGTAAAATGTAAGCCTACTTGAACCGCGTGGCTCGAGCCACAGCGGATCAACCCAGCATGGCTGGAGCCAACATGGCTACACGTTTATGTTTTTCCCAATCCACGTGGCAGAACCTTTGCGGTCCGCTACACGTGCTGCAATCTATGCTGTGCAATCCACACGGTGTGCTCTATGCACCAACATATACATATATATATATGTATATATAAATGGTGCCACCATTGCGGTGCAAGCTACATGCTGCAATCTATGCCGTGCAATCCACACGGTGTGCTCTATGCACCAACATATATATATATATATATATATATATATATATAGTTGGTGCCACCATTGCGGTGCAAGCTACATGGTGCAATCTATACTGTGCACTCTGGGCGGTGACGGGGCGGCGACGGCGAGCACGGAGCAGCCGGACCGCCACGGTGCCGCCAGACCGCCAGCCAGCCCCCAGACGACGGGCGGCGACGAGGCGGCGACGGGGCGCCGACGGCGAGCACGGAGCCGCCAGACAGCCAGCCAGGCCCAGTTCCTTAGAAAAGGAATCAGAACCTCAAACAGTGAAAGTACTGCTTGAGGAATGTGTATTTATAATCATATATCTATACACATATATCTATAGACACATCTATACATATCTATTTATACTTATATATTATATACACATATCTCCGCCACCGTGCCTCTGGGCACGGAGTGGGCGCGTCCTCAGGTCCTTTGCCCAATCCCCTGAGCCTCAGTCCTCAGCCCTTAGTCCGGAGGGGTCCCTTGGGGGCCAGGACGCGCACTTCTCAAATCTTCTTGGGCCTGGCGCGTGCCTCCTGGGGTTCCCGGCGTGGTGGCGCGGCCCAAGAGGGCTCAATCACGGACCCAGGAAGCCCCAAGTTGACCCCAAGACGGTCCAAGAGGGCGCCGAGTCGCCAAACGGTCGCTCCAAGACGCTCAAGATGCCCCCCCAGACGGCCCAAGAGGCCTAACGAGACGCCCAAAGAGGCCTCCACGAGGCCTCCAGGAGGCCTCCCAAGAGGGCTCCAACAGGCCAAAGATGTTCCAGAAGTTCTTCCTTTAGTTTGTAAAGCATCCTGGCGTTCTCGTCTTTTCGGCTTCCCGACGCTCTCGGTCCGAGACCGCCCCAAGACGGCCCAAAAGGGTCCCAAGACAGCCCAAGAGGCTCCCAAAACGGCCCACGAGGGCACCAAGAAGGCCCCGAAAGGGATCCAAACGAGGGAACACGAACCGAAAATAGGGGCCGTCCGCCCCAACAGGCCCCCAGGAGGCCCCAAGAGGCGCTCAGGAAGCCCCAAGAGGCCCCCATGAGGCCCCCAAGAGGCCCCAAGAGGCCCCAAGAGGCCCCCAAGAGGCTCAAAAGTCGGCCCAAGATGCTCCCAAACGGTCCCCAAGATGCGTCCAAACTGCCTTCAAGAGGCCCCCGAGAAGCCTCCCACGAGACCCCAACGAACACCAAAGAGGCTTCATACCCACAACCCAAGCACGGTGGCGGGATGGGCCGAGGGCCGTTCGACATATAGAGACATGTATGTTACCCAGCGTAGACCCCCAGGAGCGTGTTCTAGTATACTATGTGGTGCAATATGTGTGGTGCGATATCTGTGGTACAATAGATGTGGTGTGAGCTATGTGGTGCAATCCTCGTGGTGCAATTATATGTGGTAAAATTTGTAGTGTAAGCTATGTGGTGCGCAACTTCCGTGGTGCAACCTGTGGAGTGCAATGGATGTGATACGAGCTACGTGGCGGAATCTATATATATATATATATATATATATATATGTGGAGCTAGCGTGCTCGTCTTTGTCTAGGACCCCATTTGGTGAAGGCTAAGCTAACCTATGTGGTGCGATATATCGAGTTGTGAGCTATCTAATGCAATGTGCGTGGTGCAGCGTATGTGGTTCAAGCTATGTGGTGCAAGCTAGGTGGTGCATATGTGGTGCAATGTAGTGCTACGTGGTGCGATCTATGTGGTGCAAGCTATGTGCAGTATATGTGGTGCAAGCTATGTGGTGAACCGTATGTGGCGCAATGTACTGTAACGATGGCAACGCGATCGATTGCAATCGATTGCAATCGATTGCAATGCAACGTGGGGAAAGGGCACAACGGGGCGGCGGCCACGAGGCGGCGACGGCGACAACAAGCGCGGCGACTGACACCCAAGCGCGGCGACGGACGGCGACGGCGACGGCGACAACCAGCGCGGCAGCCGACACCTAAGCGCAGGAGCAGCAGCGACGGACGGCGGCGACGGGCGGCGACGGCGACAACAAGCTGGCCGGCCCGACACCCAGGCCCAGTTCTTTGTATAACGAGTAAACCCCCTATATGCAAGCACTGGTTGGAAGATATACACGCGTGCGGGCACCTCGACCCTCCATCCTCGAACTGCGACCCTCTGCTCATCCCGACCCCGTGCCCTGGGTGCGGATCAGAAGCCTCTTGCGTACCTGTTGGGGTCTCTTTGCATGCCTCTCGGGCGCCTCGTCGAGCCACTCTCGACGCCTCTGGGGACCTCTTTGGGGCATCTTGGAGGCCTCCTGGGGCGTCCTTTGGGGCTCTCGGGGACCTCTTCGGGTCCTGCTGGCGGTCTCCTCGAACGCCCGGGAGTGCAGACTGCTGCCGCAAGAGCGCCCCTAAACACTCACGCGCGGCAGCGTTCGAGGCCGCCGGCGGCGCTCCAAGGGGGTGCTGGGCCCTCCCGGGCTTCCTCGACACCGTCCTCGACACGCCAGCTGTAGCAAATGACCACGCGACTGGAGTGAGACCTGATAAAACCATGTTGTCTGAACTGCTTCGAGCCGGGCGTCTTCGCGCGGTTCCAGGGTCCGGGGCCCTCACACATCGATCCGGCTTGAAAAATGGCGCAGCAAGACGGGGTATGGGGCTCCAGCCATGACTTTTCCCGAGGTTGTACTTTTTGGCCACGTCGGATCTCAGGGGGACGGGGAGGGGGGCGAGGGCGGAATACTGCCCCTGGACGGCGACCGCAATCGAGCCCAAACTGGCGGGCACGCGCGCGGACCGAATGGGCCGGGCGCCCTCAAGTCGGTGGTTCAGAGATGGTGCCCCGAGGGACGGGGTCCTGAGGGCAGGAATGGACTCAGGGCTGGACTTCCGTTTTTTTCTGGACTTCCGTTGTTTGGGGCACCTCGTCCTTGGGACCCCGCCCCTCCGGACCCCCATCTTCGAACCACCGATCCGGGCACCCACCCGGACGGTCCGCCTTGAGGCCGGCGATGGGGAGGCTGGAGGAGCGGCCCTCCACCCCGACCCACACGGCCCCTTCCCCTTCCCTTTCCCTTTCCGCTTCCCCCTCCTCCTCCTCCTCCTCCTCAACAACCTCCTCGTCCTCCTCCTCAACAACCTCCTCGTCGTCCTCCTCGTCGTCCTCCTCCTCCTCCTCCTCCTCCTCCTCCTCCTCCTCCCCCTCCTCCTCCTCCTCCTCCTCCTCCTCCTCCTCCTCTCCTCCTCCTCCTCCTCCTCCTCCTCCTCCTCCTCCTCCTCCTCCTCCTCCTCCTCCTCCTCCTCCTCCTCCTCCTCCTCCTCCTCTCCTCCTCCTCCTCCTCCGCCTCCTCCTCCTTCTCCTCCTCCTCCTCCTCCTTCTCCTCCTCCCTCCTCCTCCACCTCCTCCTCCTCATCCTCCTCCTCCTCATCCTCCTCTTGCTCCTCCTCCCCTCCTCCTCCTCCTCCCCCTCCTCCTCCTCCCCTCCTCCTCCTCCTCCTCCTCCTCCTCCTCCTCCTCCTCCCTCCTCCTCCTCCCCATCCTCCTCGTCCCCCTCTCCTCCTCCTCCTCCTCCCCCTCCTCCTCCTCCTCCTCCTCCTCCCTCCTCCTCCTCCTCCTCCTTCTCCTCCTCCTCCCCCTCCTCCTCCTCCCCCTCCTCCTAACGGCGACCAAGAACGGGTCGCGCGCGAGATGGCACGGCGACGCTGCGACGCAGCTTACGCCGGTCGCCCGCGCGGCACGCTGCACTCGAGACGACGGCGTTTGCGCGCGACCTTTCGCGGGCAGCTTACGCGCGAATGTCGGCGCAGACGACCCCGCGTGGTGGCGTCGCTCATGTGCAGTTTGGGACAGCCTTCTCGTGCCCTGATGCGCTCCAAGACGGCAGACGTCTTGATGCACCCCGCCTTGCCAGCAATGTATGCCTCAGCGCATACGCTCAGCTCAACTTGACCAAGCCGGCGCACTTTTCTGTGCCGTCAGGAGTGGATCCAGTGGCACACAGGCGCAGGTCGACACAACGACGACGAATGACGGCATACGACAGACAACGGACGGACGGCACGCCAGTTAAAAATGTGAGCAGAGAGGACCGGTGCAGACTCAATGCTGCGGCTGGTGAAGTGCCTCAACCTCTCAGAAAACTTCGCAGCCAGCTTTGGAATGGCAGGGGGGGGGAATGGAAACGTACGAAGGCCAGCATCAATACACCACCATCAGCCCTGGCTAGGCCAGGAGGGTCAAGACGACAATATGGGACCCAAGATGGGAAGATGGGCCAGGTCACCGCTGGTGATGGTGTATAGCTGCCTGCCTGCGAAACGTCGTTCTGGAGAGCGGGAAGGAGGATGAGGAGGAGGTTCGAGTAGAGGGGTAGGGGTTCAGAAGGCCGCGCCCTTCGCACCGCTCACGCCTTTTTTTGGACCTTGGAGACGGCGTCGTCAATCGTGTCCTTGATCTTGTCGGTGATACTGTACTTCTGATTCGTCTCGATTGCCTTGTCCACCAGGTCGGAGGCGACGCTGCTGCCGGTGGTCACGGCACTGCTCAGGGTGCTCCCGATGTTGACCTCCTTGTCCACCGTCTTGATTGCGCTGTCGACCCCATCGATGATCTCTGCTGCCGTGGATGACGACGCCTTCACCTTGGCGACCTGCTCGCCCACCGCGCTGCCCACTTTGCTGGTCACCTCGTACTTCTTGTCAACACTGCCGAGGAAGTTCAGGGTCTCCAGGCCCTTCGTGGCCACACCCTTGAGAGCGCTGGCGGCGTCGTTGTCTGCGCCCTGGCGGACCAGGAAAGCGGAGCCCGCGAAGAGGAGGACCCCCAGCACGGGGCCGCCCACCAGGGCGCCGGTGATGCCGCCAATGATAGAAGAGCAAACAGCTGCATAAACAGAAGCTCTTGAAGGTCCGCGCGGATCTCTTGAACCCGCGCTGCACCCCCTCTCGCTGGCGCGCGGAGCGCGCCTGGGGGTGGCGCGCCAGATGCGCGGCCAGGGGTGCCCATCACAGGTCCAAGAAACCCGCGCGGCCCTTCGAATACTCATGTTTATGTAATCGGACGGGGCTGGGACGAGGATAAATCCGTTCCAGAGCGTCCCAGAACGCTCTCAGAGCGTTTCGGGACGCTCTGAGAAGGCCGCGACGCCCGATACATCCTCCCAGAGCCGCTGGAGCTCACGGATGCTCGAGTGATCCTCACCCGAGTGTGTTCCTCTCGTCCTGGCCTCCTCTTCTCTCGCCGCTTTCTGCTCTTCCGGATGAGGCTCGCCATGGCGGCCGTGTTCTCCTCGTTGACGGCCACGAGCGCCCCCGTGGTCGCCTCTGGCTCCTCGGCCGCGGCGCGCCGCAGCGCGCGCCCCCCGCGCGGCGCGGGGGCCCCGCCCGCGAAGGCCGCGGGCGCGAGCGCCGCGTGGAGCAGCAGCCCCCCCGCGGCCAGCGCGGCCAGGCGGGCGAGCGCGGGGCTGCGCCGGCAGACCGCGGGCATCTCTCGCTCGGCGGGGGCGGAGGTGGGGGGAGGCCGCAGAGGCCCGGGCCTGGCTCGGCAGGGGGCGCGGCTGGAGCGGGCCTGGGGCCGCAAACGGCTGGGGGCACCAGGGCGGGCGGCCGCAGGCGCGCGGGAGGCCCCGCGGGGGGGTCCGCCATGGGGCGCCATGGGGCCCGCACGAGGCCTGCCCCGGAGTGCCATTTGCGAGAGCCCGAAAAGGAGCCCTGCACCTCCCAGCCTCGCCTCGCCTCGCTGCCTCCCTGCCTGCCTCCCTGTCCCCCCCTGCTGCTCCTCCTCCTCCTCCTGCTCCTCCTCCTCCTCCTCCTCCTCCTCCTCCTCCTCCTCCTCCTACTCCTCCTCCTCCTCCTTCTCCTCCCCGAGGAGGAAAGGGAGAAGGAGGAGTAGGAGGAGTAGGAGGAGGAGGAGGAGGAGGAGGAGGAGGAGGAAGAGGGGGAAGAGGAGGAGGAGGAGGCGGCGGCGGCTCCAAAGACCATGGACTCTTCGAAACATGTAACAAAACCTCATGGCCTGGCCTGGCTACCTCCCTCACTCCCCCCTCGAAGAGAAGAAGGACGCGGCCGATAACTAAGTGCGCCCTTCAAACCATAGAGATACCATATGATGGCCTCCCTCCTCCACCTCGCAGTGGAGGAGGAGGCAGAGGAGGAGGAGGAGGAGGAGGAGGAAGAGGAGGAGGAGGAGGAGGAGGAGGAGGGAAGAGAAGGAGGAGGAGGGGAGGAGGAGGAGGAGGGGGGGAGGGAGGAGGGAAGTGGCCTTGAGGAGGAGGAGCAGGAGGAGGGGGCGGCGGCGGCCCAAAACTCGATGGTGCCAATCACAAACGAAACAACCAAACTCCTTCCCTCGGCTCACTGCCCTCCCTGCCTCCTCCTAAAAGGGCGAGGGGGAAGAGGCTTCCAATTGGGGGAGACTCCCGATTGCACGATCAAAGCACAAGAAAACCCCACGGATCGACATACAGGAGACTTGCCATCTTTTCAGCGCCACCCTTCTCGCTACCTCTTGACCATCCCCCGTTTACTCGCTTTCCGCCTCATCTTCTTCCTCCCTCAAACTCCTCCCCCATCCCCCTCCTCCTCTTCCTCCTCCTCCTCCTTCTCCTCCTCCTTCTCCTCCTCCCCTTGTTCTCTCTTCCTTCTTATCTACCATCCAGTACCTTCTCCTCTTCCTCCTCACCTTCTGCCTCGCTCCTCCTTACTCATCCCTCCTCCTCCCTCCTCCTCCTCTCTCCTTCCTCATGCTCACCATCCTCCCCTTCTTTCTCCTGGTCATAATCCTCCCCCGCCATCGTTCCTCTTCCCTCCATCTCTTTGCACCGAATTCCACCTCCTCTGCATTGCAAAAGTCGATTTCGGCACGAGGCACTCAGCCGACACGTACCAAGCGTCCCTTACTTGACCTTACCTCTCAAATTGCTCTGAGAGCTGGCAGGATCCTTCGTTGATGCTCGGCGGCGGGCGAAAAGTGGCCCAGGGCTTGCGTATGACTGCACGCGGGGGGAGGAAGTAGGAGGATGAGAGCGGGCAGGATCCTTCGCTGATGCTCGGCGCCGGGCGAAAAGTGACCCAGGGCCTGCGTGTGACTGCACGCGGGGGGAGGAAGTAGGAGGAGGGGTTGGGAGGAGGAGGAGGAGGAGGAGGAGGAGGAGGAGGAGGAGGAGGAGGAGGAGGGAGGAGGAGGAGGAGGAGGAGGAGGAGAGCAGGAGGATGGAAGACGGAGGATGGAGGACTGCTCTTCGCTTGGCGGCCCGGCGCGTGGCGACGCGGGCGGTCCATCGGCAAAGGGCCGACGCGGCATGGATAAGTGCGCTCGAGCGTGCCCGGGCCCTCCTCCCTAACGGGGCCCTGGGACACACACACACACACACACACACACACACACACACACACACACACACACACACACACACACACACACACACACACACACACACACACACACACACACACACACACACACACACACACACACACACACACACACACACACACACACACACACACACACACACACACACACACACACACACACACACACACACACACACACACACACACACACACACACACACACACACACACACACACACACACACAACACACACACACACACACACACACACACACACACACACACACACACACACACACACACACACACACACACACACACACACACACACACACACACACACACACACACACACACACACACACACACACACACACACACACACACACACACACACACACACACACACACACACACACACACACATATATAAAAATACACACAAATGAATGATTCCCCATATTTTTCAATATTTTTCGGATTTTCGTCTTCCCCCCCACTTCCCATATTTTCCCATATTTTCCGGGGGATCGACGATTAATTGTGTCTGTGTGTTTTTTTCCCTCCTGACTCCCGTCCTCCCGTCCGTCCTGGGCGAGGCACTCCAGGATCAGCGTGTCCTGCGACGGGGCCGGCAGCTCCCTCTGCTCGCCGCCGCCGCTCACCGCGAGCGCCACGGTCGCGGGTCCCAGCCGCTGCCTGGCCACGGAGCTCGCAGGCCCTCCCATCGCCCCCCTCCCTGCCACACCAAGCATGGTTTCACAACAAAAACTGTTGTCTTGGAGAGGGTGGCGGAGAGCACCCTTTCTGCCGCATCAGAGGCCTCCTGGATGGGGTCCGAGTAGATGGGGTCGAAAGAGCGCCGCACCGCCGATGCGTCGGCGCAGCTGGCGTGGAGAACGTCGAGCTCCACATCGAGCATCATCCCCGATGAATCGGCGATGCGGTGCGATCCTCGGACGCCATCTGCTCGAATCACATCTGGGAGGCTGAGACGCACTCCTCCTTCCCTCCTCCTCTCCTGCTCTCCCCTTCTGACCGTTTGCGAAAGTTTCGCCGGAAACAATGCGCGCAGAGGAACGTGAGCAGAAGGCACGGCCGTGCATGCGTGTCGTGAGTAATTTGGGCGAGCAACGACATATGTACATGTACGCCCTCCGCGGTTTGGTCTGCACGAGCGTCCGCGTTGACACGCACTCCAGAGGAAGCTAACCGCGTACGTGTACATATGTTGCTGGCCTCTGATAATTGAGGCCAGGCGGATACAGCCATGTTAGGCGAAAGGGGGGCCCGCACAGTGCCATCGGCAACGACACTGGCCCGATGGTCCGACGGGCTGCGGCAGCCTCAGGGCTATATCTTCAGGTCCGTTTAGGTATCCTTAAAGTCTGAAGCCGCCAGACGTGAAGTAAATCGGACAACCTACCCGAACTGTTTTAATGCGGGATGACGGTTAATAAAACAAATGGGAGGGAACGATTAAACACATAGTTTTCTGCTATTTCTGCACAACTTTCTGCCTGGAGGAGAACGAGTTCAAAAAAAGTTTCCAGCCCACGGCCGATTTTTTCGAATCGTCATCCCGGGCGCCGCCGCGTGAACACGACCCCCGGTCATTTATTAATCGTCATCCTCCATTATGTCATACACGGGGGACACCTCATCACGGTTTCACCGACCCGGAACATGCCAAGTCAGAGCCGAATACGTTCCGCTGGCACGCATCTCCCGTCGTTTTTTGACACTAAAATACTGTTTCCCATAAAATCCCCCTGGCGGTGAAGATAACGGAGGATTGGAAGAACGCGAGACCGATTTCTCGCGGGTGATAGAGGATTTCCTGTATGCTGTCCCTGCGCAAAGGCCAGTCTTGCCAATAATGGAAGGCAACGGACCGCCGCCGCTACCGCAATCATCACCGTCACCATTGCGTGCCTGCAAGACCCCTTCTGTTGAGCGGCCAAGAATTAAACTGCACGAGGGACACGGCACCGATTTCTCGCGGCCCGTCAGGAGAATCTTGTCATTGGATACGCGAGCCCGCTTTCCCGATCGGGGACCCGAGCTCTGACCAGAAGAAGATCCGCCGTCGCCAGCGCAGAGACGACTGACCCGAAGTCGCGAAAACTTTAGTACACGCCGTGGACGAACTGGCATTATCATATCCGTGGGTCTTTGACTACAGTTCGCCATGGCCGCCGTTGCCAGGGCGGAGCGGGTTAGAGCCTCGCGGGCGCTGGTCCGCGCACGCGGCGTTGACCAGGTCAGAGACGATGCCGCCAAGCACAAGGTCGATGCCATTGTCACCGACCCCTCCAGAGGGGGCCGCTGGCAGAAGTTGGAGGACGCGGCGCGCGCCCACTTGGCCACCTTCCCCGACGGCGGCCTGCTGGCAAGTGCCGCAGATGCGGCTGCTGGTAGTCCTGCCAGCGGCTTCCGAGGGCGCGGCCGCAGCTTCTTGCTCAAGCTCCACCGGCTCTTCGTCGACTGGGCCTCTTCCCCGGCGGCGCGCCCGCGGCGGCGTCCAACGGTGACCTCTGGAGGCTCTGGCGCGCTTGGGAGGAGCCGACGAAGAAAGGACGGGGCGCTCTTCAAACCATCTGCAGTTCGGAGGGGCCCTTGCGCAGCGCCGACGCGGAAGATCACTTCGGAAGCCCCGCTAGACAACGCAACTCTGGCGGTGTTCACCTTTCTCGGTGCAGTGCCAGATGTCCGGCCGACGGCGGCGCTCAGCAGCCTCCCGCGGGCCAGATTCAGGCCCCCGGGGCGCCGGCTTGGCCGGCGCAAGCAGCCGCGCCTTCTTTCGCGCCTGGGCGCCGAAGAAGGGGGCGCTCTTCAAGGGAACCAACTGGCGGCCGAGGAAGATGCGCGGCGTGAGAGGCAAGTGGCTGGAAGACCTCTGGACAAACGGCAAGCTCGACAACGACCGCAACGAGGCCCTCGCGTTGCAATGTTGCGCAGGCTTCGCAGACGGGAAGCGAAACCTTGAGGCGCGCGCGGCAGAGAAAGAGGCTTGGCTCGACAACCGGATCTCTCTCTGGTCGAGATCCGGGCCCCCCTCTGCGCTTTCTGATTGTGCGGGGGCGTGGGGGGTCGCTCCTCGCCCGCGACTTCCCGAGGGAACTGCTGGCTCTTGCGGCCGGCAGCGCGCCGGCAGAGTGGAACTACGCAGAGAGCGTGGGCAACAGGCTGCTGGACAGATTGCCAGGTCTCAGCAATGTCATGGATATTTCTTGCGTCATGGAAAATGAAAAATCTCGTCTGTCTGAGAGCGCGCGCCATGAAGACGCGGACACGCGCAGGCGCGCCACCCCGGTTTTGAGCGTCGCCACCACGGGCGGCACATCTTACGAATGGCCCCGCTCGCGTGAAGACGCACCACTGGCGATGGAAACGATCCACGCGCGGCGAAGGGCATGGCTGCGCAGGCGCTGGCCGGATAACCCGCAACCTCCTGGAAGCCCGATTCGCCTTCGAGCAGCGCCCCCGCACCTGCTGCGAAATCGCGACAAGCGCGGGATACCCCGCGCATCCAGACGCCTGCCTGGCACTCCGAGGCGTTCGCCCCCGCGCGTGCGGAAGCGCCAGAAAGTAATGCGCGGTGGCCTTCGGCCACTTGCGAGCGGCGCCCCCACGCCTGGAGGACAGCTTCGACAACGGACGGAAGTCTCGCAACCCCAGACGTCCGCGCGGCATTCAGAGGCACGCGCCGCCGCGCGGGCTGATGCTCCGAAAAGCATGGCGCGGTGGCCCTTGTTCACCTGGGACGGCCGCCAGATCACGCCGGCCTTGCACGGCCTCCGCAGAGTGCCGCCGCCCATGTCTGTTGCGCCCAGCCAGGCTGGGCCTCCGCGGGGCGCCCGGCACCGAGGATGGAGCAAGGGGCAACCGGCGCCGGATTCTCGGTGTGAAATTCGACATGGATTTCGATGTGGATGTCGAATGGATTTGCGAGGGCGGTCAAGTGTGTGAGGGGTGCTAAAAAATCGGTCCCATATTTCCACTTCGAATCCACCTCGAAATCTACTCTCGACATCGAACCCGAAATCCACGTCATCCACTTTCGACATCACTTCGAAATCCATCTCTGAATCCACGTCGAAATTCATTTCGAAATCCACCCGGAATCCTCTTCGAAGTTCACAACTTCTCAGGTCGACATGGATGGCAATATGCTGTGGGCGGACTACTGAGGGAAGGATAGACTGCAAGGTTTTGAGGTCGAGCTGCCTGCCATGCGCACCGGGTAACAGCGGGCAGCGCGAAAGTCTCGGGGCGCAACTGCCCGCGACCTCGCCTGGCCCGGTGGCAGGCGCTCAATCAAGGTCACAGGTGCGACGGGGGCCCCGAGCACGCAACTCTGCCGCCGAGAATACGTAGTCCTGCAAGGGATGTGCTTTCCAGAGATTGTAACAAAACTAAGGTTTGCGTACCCATGGCCCATGCCTGAGCCAAAGGTAGGGCGCTTTCTTCCCCGTAAAGTGTAACGAACATCAGCAACTGCCGAACGAGGAGAAGGACCAGGCCGAGGAGGGGGAGAGTAAGGTGGCTTTTTATATACACTGTGCACACGTTGAAATCACATGGGAAGGCCGGCAACACTAGCCGATGATACACATGATCGCTGGGAAGCACGGGCAATTTACATTTCCGCTGCGATTTTCACACGAGGTTTCCTCGCGTCTCTCCGGGCTCTTCGTTCCCACCGAGAGTTTCAAAATCCACTCAGGATTCATTGCTGAGACTTTGTAGCCTGATGCTGGTGCTGACTGTCAAAGCGGAACGCCGGGTCTTCGAGACCGGGCCGACGTCTTGGCGCTGAACCGCTGCAACTCGTGGGCGCAACTTCTCTGGTGGAGGGCCGTGGCGCAGGCCAGGAACAACAATTCCGGCGGCGACCAATGCGCCAGCAACGTGCGCGCGTACCATCAATATTTGGACGGCGTGGCGTCGCCGCGCTGGCAACGGTCGACTGGGGCGCGCTGGACTCCTACCTGGTGGACGAGACCTCGCCCTGGCGTTCCCGTTGGCTTTGCAAGAGCAGCGTCTCTTCAAGCGGCTGCAGAGATGAAGTGTTCTACGACAAGGTCCCCACTGAGCGGGTCGAAAACACCTTCTCTAATTTTGCGCATTCGGTGAAGCGCAGGCGCCTCGGGGAAGCGTGCAGGGCAGCGGGAAGAGAGGGGCCCCCGCCGCCGCCGCTCCGACAAACGAGCAGAGGCTTCAGGCACGAGGCACTAACTGAACAGATTTGTGGCTGACCAAGTTACCAGGAAATCATCGTCTCCGTCCCTCGCCGGCACCGCCAGCGCCGTCGCGGCCGCCGCCAGCTGGGGGGGCGACGTCTCGAGGAGGATCCCCGGCCAGCTTGACTGACCAGCATCACCTTCAAATATCTAGGTAGCCCGGGTTGAGCACGGCGCAGCGCGCGGCCAAACCTACCCCATCAGGTGGCTGCGTCGACGACGGCGACGACGTCGACGGCGACGGCGGCGATAACGACGGCTATGACGCAGGCTGTGCGAGCCTCAAGAGAGGCGTCGGCGCTGTCATCGGCGATGCATCCAGCGCTGCCGCCGCCGCGCGCTGTCCGCAGTGCACCTGGCTCAACCTCAAAGCCAACGTTTTTTTCACAAGCCCACCCGCGGCAATTTTCGCCCACGCCGGTTGTGCCCGAATCTCCAAGAGATCCATGAACTTCGCAAACCAGCGCAAAGTGGTCACCACAGATGAACGCGGCTGGACTTGGAATGACATCGCAGCCAAAGTGCGGACCGTGAGCGGGGCGCCCCGTCGGAAACTCAGGTCCGCGACGTCTACCGCACTTTCGACAGGAGGGCCCCAGGAAGAAGTACAAATACTCTATTTGCGGCAGGACGCCTTGGAAAGTGACCCCCGAAGTGGACCGGTTCCTGGTGAAGAAACTGCTACCTCTACGGGCGACGTGCGTCTGCACCGCGACCACCTTGCAGCGCGAGCTGCAGAGAGACCTGGACACACTGTTCGCAAAGTCTACAATCTGCAAGGCGCCGCAAAAAAACGATTCAAGCGGTTGCCGCCGGCGCAGGAATCGAAGTGCTACAAGAACGACCGCGATGCCCGCTTGGCACCCGCCCGCGAACGGGAATTGAAGAAGCACCTGGCCTGCATGGACGCCGTCGTACTGTCAGCCCCTCCTTCGGACCCAGTCGAGCGGTCCAACTTCGTCAACATGGGGGGGGTCGCACATGTGGCGAAGTCCACCGAGGCCGCGAAGAAGGAGCTGTCTGGCAACAACGACTACGAGACGCAGGTTGCCGTTTTGCGCGCAGCGTCACTCTTGAGCGGGGTTGAGGCTGGCGGCTTCGGCAGCATCACTTTTCGCAAAACCAAGACCCTGCGTCAGGACGAGCGGGTGAAGGCTAAAGCTGGGAAACTTGTCGCCGCCTGCAAGCAGGCACGGCCAGATCAGACAGATGGCCCTTGACACGTCCTCTGCGACAGCGAGGGGGTCCTTCACAGGCGCAAGAACAAGCGGGAGTACGCCAAGACGTCCGTGCATTTGTGGAGCGTTCCGGCGGGGTCGCCAAACTTCATCTCGGTGGACAAGTTTTGGGCGTACCTGCGATGGCGGTTGCGTGCCATGGATATGGAGGATGTGCATGATAAGAAACCATCCGTGGAAAAGGCCGAACTGAAGCGGAGAGTGCGGATAGTGGCGCCGGCCAAGAAGGCCAAAGATGCGCCCAACCGCATCGCGCGGAGCTTAGTGAAGACGGCAAACCTCGTCATCAAGAAGATGGGCGTCGCATCGAGCCGCTGAGCTCATCGCCCCGGAAAATGAGCCTAGGGGGCGGAAAATGTTGCACGGTCCGGTTACGCAAGGTTCGCGACAGAAGAATGCGTGCAGAGAAACGTGAACGCAGGGCATGGCCGTGCATCCTTGTCGTGAGTGAGTGAGTGCCTGCATATATTTTCAAGTACAGGAGCCTCTGTTTGGCAAATGGGGCCCCGTACAATGTCATCGGCAACGACAGCGGCCCGATGGACTGAAACCACCTTGCGGCTACAGTTACATGTTCAGGTCCGTTCAGGTCCCCTTTGTTAATGTAATCGCCAAGCGGTGTATACATCGGACTCCGTGACCAGACTCAAATATTCTATAAAGGGGGCACCCCAGCACGGTTCCATCGATCTGATAAATTCCAGGTCGGACCTTGACATCTTCGACTGGCGCGCAGCTTCCGTTCGTTTTTGACAGGGGAAACCCGTTCAGGTCAGATCTCAAAAAACGGAGCTCTCATTGGACACCGCCACCAGGCTATGTAAAGAACATCTTTTCAAGTCGACTTGGACATTTCCGGATCGGACTTGTCAGTCATCGTCCAGCGCTTTTCGCCCAGTGGCCTTTCTGCCAGAAGGCCCAGGTTTACTTTAGAACTTCCAGGTCCAGTCAAATTGACATATCCTGAGATACTGCTTCCCATAGACCCCCCGCGGGTGACGAATATAACGGAGCACTGAGAAGCGCGAAACCGATTCCTCGGGATTGGTACAGAATTCGTGGGTTGACCTTCCTGGATGCTGTCTATGCGCGAAAGCCGATGCTGTCAGGGGTGGAGGGCAACGGAGCGCCGCCACCATGGTCGTCATCACGGTCGCCACTGCGTGCCTACAGCACCTCGCTGTGAGTGGCCAAGAGATAGTTCACGCGAGACGCGACACCGATGTCTCGCGGGCGATGCTAATAATTTTGAGATTGGAAACGCGAAACCAATTTTCTGATAAGGGCCCCGATCTCTGACCCAAGAAAGGCCCGCCGTCGCCACCGCAGAGACGACTGACTCGAATTCGCGCTCAACTTTCGCTGATGCCATGTATGGTCATGATTCGCGTCGCGGAAAGAACAATACGGGGAGTTGTTGGCGATTTTCGGCGTCTGGGGGCCCTAGCTGGGCCCCTGGACAATGAAAACAAAGAAACTCAGGAAGAACAGCCTGTCCAGGGGTCGCTGCCTAGTCCATCCATCCCACTGCATCCTGCTTCTCCCTCCTTATCCTACCTCCTCCTCCTCCACCACTATAGTCCTCGTCCTCCAGCGACCTCCTTCTCCTGCCTGCTCCTGCCTCCTCATCCCTCCTCCTCCATCCTCCTCCTCCCTCCTCCTCCCCCCTCCTCCGCCCCACACCTTTTCTTTCTCACCCCGCGTCGCGCAGCGAGGAGGGCCCGAGCCCGCTGCCTGGCCATGGAGTTCGCGATCTTGCTCTTCGCCTCCTCCCAATCGGCCTCGGGACGGGGGGGGGAGAATGCTCCGGGCCACCAAAGTCCCCGCACCCTCGCGCCGGCCCCTCGGAGAAGGGCCACCGCTCTGTCCCAATAGAGCGACGCGCGGAGCATGGCTATCTCTTCGCGCCCCATCGGGCGACCAAGAGGACGATGGGGGAATGCAGCACCCTCACAGAACCTTTCCAGAGGTACGATTCTGGAGATATGATAGGGGGTGGGAGATATATGATGTGGACACTGGCCGTCGCTCGGACGTCCATTCCCTGTGCTTATTTCGGTTTCGTGCGTGTTTTTTTTTCGCCAAATGATCAAGGATGCTCCTCGATGGTCCTCGCCGAGAAAAAATGCACACGTCCGAGCGATGCCAGGGACATGGGGAGGATGGAGAGTATCCCCCTGAGGGACGATGGAGGGATATGATAAGGGGGAGATGAAGGATGATGAGGAGACATGATGGTACGGTGGGACGTGAACTTAATATGACGGATGCTGTTTTGTTGCATCTTCGGGGCCTCCTGGGGGGAGGAAGGGCACGTCTGCATTCGCGTCCAAGTCCTCATCAAAACGCCCTCCGGGATAGGACTTTGGCTCTTGGAAAGCCCAACGACTTTCGGGCACTTCCAAAAGTGCCCAAAAACTTCGCGACCTGGCTCTTCGTCTCCTCCCAGTCGGCGTCGAGGAAGAGAGAGAGCGAGAGAGAGCGAGAGAGAGGTGTGAGGAAGCCAGCGAATCATCCATGAACGCATGAAAACCGAGCAGACCCCCGCCCCTCACATGAGCAAATTTAGACCAACTAGACCGCGGACGCGGAGCCACCCCCCGCTGCGGCAACTGGCAATGGCCTCGCTTACAGCTCGCCTACACCTACGCACCTTCGCCATAATCTTAAGACCTGACATCGAAAACCCGCTGTTGTGGGGGCTGAGGTCGGTCTCGCACTGCTCAATCCACCGACGCCCCTCCTGGCCAGGTCAGCGCTTGGGCCAGGATCGGCACATAGCGATGGAACGCTCCCTGGGCCCGACAGGCAGGCCTAGGCACGGCCATCCCCTGGGCCCGCGACGCGCCGGGCCAGGACGGTGTCGGCGTCTACGGCCGGACCCCGGGGACAGAAGAGCACCCTTCAAGAACGCGAGACCCTCGGCCGACCAAAACTAGGAGAGCGAAGAATGACATAAGCATAACAACTCGGAGGTCCGCGCGGATCCCTCCGAGTTCTTATGCTCATGTCGTCCTTCGTTCCCCTAAAAACACCCCAAGCAATAAGATTACTCGAGGGGATCCCCCCCCAGGATGCACAAGAGCATCCAGCAAATTCGAAGGAACACCAGGCCACCCTCCCCGGACCGACCTCGATCGTGCACCTCGGTCCGACTGTGGTGGGTGTGCCGGTTTTCGGAGGGCTTCCCTGGGGGGGTCAGGGGCCCTTCGCCTCCTCCCGGCCTGTCTCGGGGCAGAGAGGCGGCAGAGACGGAGGGGGAGGGGGGCAAAGGGGAGGCCAGGGGATACCGAGAAGCCGGCACATGTCAAAAGCTGGGTTCACGGGCGGAACATGCGGAACCTACGCGCTGGATGCACATGCGGTTATCCGTGCGTTGTCCCGCGGCTGTCCCGCAAATGCGAATAACACTGCAAAGCGAATTGTAAATTGCGTAAAAATCGGACAGCAGGTCGGAACGCAACTCTACATGCAAATCAACATTCAAACCGAAACACAAACCGAAACTCAGACCGGAACTCAAGCCAAGATGCAGATCCAATTGTAATCGAAATGCGAACCTACATTAAAGTCATAATGTACCTGAGAGTGTACGTTGGAATGCAAACAAAATCCACTCGACATGACATTCGGCATGATAATGCACATGTAATTCTTAAACGCAAGTCGGAATGCAAACCTGAACGCGTATAACATCGGCACACACCTCAAAATGCACATCTGAATGGAAATTTGATCCCACATCCACTTGCAGTCGTGATGGCAACACACTGCAATCGACATGCAAATCGGAAGTGCAATGTCCTACGCGGCGATCGGAAAATCCAACACGATCAGATGTGTATGTTCGATCAGTTGTGGCACCTTGCCTTTTGATTCCATATCGTGTCTTTTCGATGTGCAAATCGGCACGCAAATCATTTCACACTCACCAGGCCTTTGCGATCTCGCTAGTGGTCGAAGAGAGACGCTTCCAAATCCTTCAACTGAGGCACCTGCAACTGACACACTAACACGGTCGACCCACGAACCCGGAAAGGGATTCATAACTGCGAGGCATGGAGAAAATTCCACATACCTCAATTGACTGGTGGGCCATGGTAAGACTAAAGACACAGATGCTGATGGTATCGTTCCAGGGGCTGTGCTGTGCTGCGCTGTGCCATGCTGCAATGACCGGTGCCAGGCCATCATGTGTTGAACTGTTCTGCGCTCTATTGCGCTGTGGATCGAGACGTCTTTGGCATCCATATCCTGACCGAACTGTTATGGATCTAGAGCTCGAGCTGCCTGAACGCATAGCTGGCCAGAACTGGTTGCGGTCGAAACCTGCGGGACGCTCAATCAACTCGAATTCTATACAGGTGCCAGAATCAAATAGCGAACACTCGTGCCACCTCATGTCCCCCCGTCCCCCATGATCAATGTTAGCAAAGGATCTGATTTGCACTTCGCCACGGAACTTTGAATTTCGGGGGCGAGGCAAGCGTTCCCTAATTCATTCCGCCTACCGTCTCATGGCTCGCATCCTGTCGTCATTTGTAAATGGAATGCGCGATTCTGCGGGTAGGGAGATCTTCGCCAAACCGAGATGAGAATGATGATGATGATGCCACGCGCGCCAGGTGTGCGAATTTCGACGGCTTCGTCAAGAGTTTCACGCGCGGCAAGTGCGTAACTGTGCCAGATTCGCCAACTACGCGCGAGCACCGAAGCCGCATTTTTCTTTCAGATAGCACTCGCGTTAATCCGCTGGAGTGTGGGGCGGTGCGCGCGATGACTGGCCGACTTAAGACATACGGAGATTGGAACCTTACATCCCAAGCATGACATTTACATATATTACAGCTTCGTTGAGCTGTTCCATCCGCACGATTCGGTACCCGCCATGCTTCGAGGCCCAGGCACGGGCACTGCCTTGTCCTCGTGAGGATGGGCCTTCTTTGCTGGGGGTTGCCGCAGGCGCTGGGACCCGGCGCGCAACATTTTAGCATAGGAGGCAGAAACTCTGTACTGAAGTGGTGTTTCCTGAAACTCGTGCAACATTTGAAGCCGCCGAGCACTTTGGCAAAAAATTGCAGCTTGGGGCGCTAGCCCCAGAGTTGCTGGGGCCTCCGAGAGACCTGGGAGGGCATGGCCCCCGGGCCCGGACCGCCGTTGCCATGTGGTGAGTTGTGAGGCGGTTCGATGGTATGTCCGAACGCGATGCACTCACGCCCTCGCATGGGCACATACATGACCAAAAGCGAAAAATGAGGGAGGGACGTCAGGAGTCAAGCATTCCAGGGTTCCTTTCCACCGCAAACACGACAACGACAACTCGCCTCGAGAACACGCCTCGAGACAACGGTCGGGGGGAAAACCGCTGGACAGGTAAACATCACGTGACCCTAGGCGGCCACCGACACGACTATGTCCAGGAGGGTATAAGGCATAGGGAGGAGGAGGCAGCCCTTGCCAAACGCCAGGCGGGCCACCCCTCAAGCAAGAGGTCCACACGCAGGACCCGTCCCACAATTCTCTGGAAAGGTATGCCCACGCCCGTTCTCGGTACCTTTCGCTAAGCTTCTTCTTGCGGCGGCCGTGCTGGCGACGCGCTATGCCTTGCAATCGGATTGCGTATTTCTCCGCTCCGCGGGGCGGGAGGCTTGGAAAAGCTAGCGGTGTTGATCGTTGATGCCTTGGGACTGGGACGTGGTCAGCGTGTCGCGCCCAAGGGTGGTGGACCAGACCAGGCGGCTCGACACGAGAAGTCCAAGTCCCTGACTGTATAGCGTAGCAGTATCATTAATAATCAGCTGCAGCAACTTTGATGCAATGCATCACGAAGTGAAGAGAACCTGGCCTGCCCCGCCCACCCCCCGGGGCCGTGTCCTAGGTCATGCCCTCCTGTCCATGCTCCGTATCTTCTTGAATATCCTCCTCCACTAGATCTCTGGTCAGCTGCGTGCGCGTGGCCAATCGAAAAGACAATCGAACCGACATGTAAACCGAAAGTTCACGATACGTCGTGCAAATACACGCCGAAGTGAAAATGAACTGGCAATCGAAATGCGAATGAAATGCAAGGTTCTCCCCAAACCTCCTTATCATAATCAACCGAAGGGTGGTCTACGATGTGTTTGTACTCCTGGTAGTGGGGCGGCAATCTGAGACAGCAGGGGCTGGAGGCAGCAAAAAATCATGCGCCCACACCTTTCACTGGGTGAGGGGCCTTCTGATGATGCCGCCCCCCTGAGCATGCCTTTTGCGCGCCGCCACGACAAGGGGGAGGGAGAGTGGCCAGACGAAGGATGAGGGAGGAGGAACTTCCAGCTGCGTTCTGCGATGTTCGGGCGTTTCCGGAGGCTCCCAGAAGCCTCAAGAGGTTCCCCGAGGGCCACAAACGTGGCGAGGGAGAGAAGGCGAGGAGGGGAAGGGAGGGAGAGGGAGCGGGAGTTCCATCTCATCCTCTCCCAGCAGGAACCCGCTCAAAAGCAGCCCCTGGCGCACTCCCAGGCACCATGCTGAGCTGTTCCCAAAGCCACGCCTGGCCATGGCGGCGAAGGGGGGGCCCGAAGACCCTCGTGATGAAGAGGGGGAGGAGGAAGACGATGGCGAGGAGGGAGGGGAGGGATGACGAAGGGCGAGGGAAAAGTGGGCTGGGCAGAGGGGAGGGGGGAGGCCTGAATGCGGTCGAAGGAGTGGCGCTCGGCGCTGCGCATGCAGCTGCGGTGCACCTCCTCCACCTGCGGCCGACTCGGGCTGCAAGGGGGGGGGAGCCGGACAGAGCAGGCCGCGGAGGCGAGAGTCGCCCCAGAGGCTCAACGGACTCCAGACTCGGATGTCGGACATCCAATCTGAGCCCTTACTGCCGCGCCAGTGTGGACTTGGGCTTCATCACGGATGTACTGCGTTGTCTCTGGCTTTCTGGCATCTTGAGTCCCTCGTTCCCTCCCTCCCCTCCTCCAACCTCCAGGCTCCTACTCCCGTCTTGTCAGTCTCCCCCTTTTCCTCCCATTCCTCCGACTCTCCCCTCCTCCATCATACCGCCTGCTTTCTCCTCCCTCCCTCCTCCTGCACTCTTCCCCATCATCAATCTCCTCTATCATCCCTCCTGCCCTCCTTTTTGCCTCCTCCTCCTCCTCCTCCACCCTTGGGAGACGGCCCCCCCCTTCGGGATGCCCCCGATCTCACGGGCCCTCTTGGCGGCGCAGGTGGCTTCGGACGTCCGCACCTCCAAAACATGCGAACAGGGCAGAGGGCACCCACTTACGGTCGGACCTGGGGCAGAGGAGCCTCCATCAGGAACATGGACCTTCGGCCAGCCAAAACACAGAACATCCAAGGGTACCCTCCCCAGGATGCACGGGAACATCCAGCAAGCACGAAGAACATGAGAGTACCCTCCCCGAACCAACCTCGGCTCTCTCTCTCTCTCTCTTTCCATTTGGACGCCCGAAATGGGCACGGAAAGAATGGGTACAGTGCCCAACAACAAATGTTGTCCCAAACCAACAGCGGCCGCTGCTGGGCAGGCGGCCCTCTGCCTCAAATGTACACAGGCCGCGGCGACACCGACAGCGAGTCCAGTTCAAAAAGAGCAAGAGCTGCTGTTGGGCTTTGTACCCATTCTTTCCGTACCCATGTCGGGCGTCCAAATTTCAATCCTCCTCTCGCAGTCCGACGGTGCACCCGCCACCGTGACTGGCGGGGATCCTCCTGGGCCACGGCGCGGTGTGCACGCTCTTCCTGTCCGGGGGGCAACGAGACCCTACGCGCGCGGGAACTTCTGCCAGGCGTGACGCGGCGGCGACCCCGGCGACACGCTGTGCCTCGCAAGCGGATGGCGCGTCGCCCCGCTCCGCGGGGCGGCAGGCCAGGAAAGACCCGGGACGCGGACGCCCGGGGCACGGGATGTGGATCGCGCGTCGCGCCGAAGCGCGGTGGGCACGAGGCAGCGGAGCGACGGGCTGTCCACAAAAGTGAAGGGGAACTGGGACACACAAATAAATGCACACCAAGAAACATAGTCCCCATGATTTCCCATATTTTCCGGGTCTTTGTCTTCCCCCCCACTTCCCACATTCTCCCATATTTTCTGGGAATCGCCGATTAATTGTGTCTGTGTGTTTCTTTCCCCTCCTGCAAGAATTCTTGACCGCAGGCGCTGTCCCAAAGGCCCGGGATCGCCCCGGCCGGGCATGGCGGCGGTGCAGATGGCTCCTGCGGAAGCAGGGCCCACGCGGCGCGCCGGCCCCCGGCCTCGACGCAGACCTGCCCCCCCCCAGGTGGCATGCGGCTGGAGCGGCCACCGCGTTCGACAGGACCCTCTCGTGCCGTAGGGCGAAGAACTCCCGGACACCCAGGTTCGGCTGGTCCTCGGGCGTCATCGTCGTCGTCGTCGGCGTCGTCGGGGGGGTGTCGGGGGTGGCCCCGGGCCACGTCGGTGGGCCGACTTTGAAAAAGCATGGGAGGAGAAGGCTGAGGGATAAGAGATTCGCCCTCCTAATGAAGCGGAAGAAGAGGCGAGGGGGGAGATAAAAGGAGGAGGGACGAGGATAGAGAAGAGAAGAGGTGAAGGAGGATGGAGAGGCGAAAGAGAAGGGTGGGCGGAGGATGTGCAGGAGGAGCCCTCTTCCAACTCCAACTCCTGCTCCTTCCCCTCTCCTTCTTCTCAAGCTCGTGATGATCCCGAGCCCAGCCCCTATCACCACCACCATCGTCATCGTGATCTTCATACTAATGCTCCTTATCATCACCGCCATCTGCGACATCTTGCTCGTCATCGTCGACATCATCGCCATCGCCTGCATCCCCATCATCATCACCACCACCATCATCAGCATGATCAGCATCCTCATCATCACTGGCATCATCATGATCGTCGTCATCATCATCACCATCACAATCATACAGCAAGTGTGACCTTAACATCATCAGCACCATCATCAGTATCATCATCAACATCATCATCACCACCACCACCCTCATCAGCAGCATCACCATTAGTACCACCATCACCATCACTACCAGCATCAGCATCACCATCACCAGCACCATCAACATCAGCATCAACCCCATCATCATCAGCATCATCATCATTGTCATCATCTCCATCATCATCATCATCATCATCATCATCATCATCAGTAGCAGCACCACCATCATCATCATCATCATCAGCATCATCACCATCATCATTGCCATCATCACCAGCAGCAGCAACATCAACTTCATCAGCATCAACATAATCATCCGCAATATCAGCATCACCATCAACATCAGCATCATCAGTATCATCAGTATCATCAGTATCATCATCATCACATCATCATCATCATCATTATCATCATGATCATCATCATCATCACCACCACCACCATCATCATCATCATCGTCATCATCATCATCATCATCATCATCATCACCATCATCATTATCATCATCATCATCATCACCATCATCATCATCATCAGCATCATCATCATCAGCAGCATCATCATCAGCATCATGATCATCTTCATACGACCTCGACGAGCGCGGACGCTGACAAGCACCCCGAGGCTGGGATCCGACGAAACCGCCCGAAAACCTTACGGTTCTTCCTGGCGGGGCTCCGAGCCAACCGGCTGCACGCCAGCACGACCTTGGGCAAGGGTGACCTTCGGTGCGCGGCCGCCAGAGGCCCCATGGGGGAGGCCCAACATCCAAGCAGCCCGAGCGCGCCGGCTGGTGCTGGTGGGCCCCCTTATGGGGGCCACGTGCGAAGCCTGCCCCTATACCCCCCACGATACTAGAGGGGGAGGGTGGGGTTCACCTCGCTCGGAAGCTCCCGGGCGAAGTGAGCACCACCCTCCCCCTCAGAAATCGTGGGGGGCAGGGGCAGGCTTCGCAGGCGGCCCCCTGTGCCCCTGCGCGCCCGCGCCGAAGGCCACCCCGGCGCGAGAGGCCCCCCCTGCGCGTGGCCGAAGAGCGGCCTCCCGCCGACGCCGACGCCGACGCCGCGCGACGCGGGCGGCGGCTCCTCGGCCCCGCCGGCCGGGCCGCCCAGGGCGCCCGCGCCCTGCGCGAGCGCGAGGTCCGCCACGTCCCGGTCGAGCTGCTGCGCGTGCGCGCTCTGCAGGATCCTCGAGGCCCCGGGCCTCGGCCAGCCCGTGCTCTCCCTCCTCCCGAGGCCCCCGGCAGCCTCCCGGCCTCGCTCCTCCCCCCCCTCCTCGCTCCCCTCTCCCTCCTGCTCCTCGGCGCCTCCCTCGCCTCCCTCCCTCCTCCTTCCTGTTGCCCTCCCTCCCTCCTCCTCCCCCCCTCTGCCCCTCGAGGACGAGGACGACGCGGAAGGAGGAGGACGAGGAAGAGGGCGAGGAGAACGACGAGGAGGGCGAGGACGACGACGAAGACGACGACGACGAAGAGGAGGGGAAGAGAAGGACAACGACGACGAAGACGACGACGAAGACGACGACGACGACGACGACGACGACGACGACGACGACGACGACGACGACGAGGGGGAGGAGGCCTTCGACCGGGCAGAGGGGAAGCAACGAGAAAAACGGGGAGGAGGACGAGAGCAGACGGGACCTTCGCGGTGGCTCCCGACTTCGGTGCGGCCCTGATCGTCATCTCCTCGTCGTCGTCGTCATCCTCGTCATCTCGTCATCTCCTCGTCGTCGTCGTCGTCGTCGTCGTGGTCGTCGTCGTCGTGACTTGAGTCGTCCTCGTCGTCGGTACCGTCCTACTCGTCCTCCTTCCTCTCGAGCGCCCAAGGGCCAAACAAAAACTAAACAAAAACAAGCACTAAACAAGGCACTACACTGGCCCGCCATGACTTCTTCGCGACGCCCACCGGACCGAATCACGCCCAGTCGACAGCCCAGCGGCGGGAGATGCCCAGGGAACTTCCCGGCCTGCCGCCGCGACTCGTACCCCTCAGGGGAGCCCAGCGCCAGCTCGAGCGTCCAGAGACGAGCCTCTGGCCGAGCGATCCTCGAATCCCGAGTTCCGACCGAACGCCGCCCTCGGCCCGCGATCCTCGGCCCGCGAGCCTCGACCAGCGAAGATCTGAAGCCCTCGGACCCTCGACTCTCGACCCTCGAAGCTCCGACGCCGACCGAGCTGCGGGCAATAGTCGAGTCCGTGTCCGCAGCGTCTTGGACGTTCCCGAAAGCGGCGCCGCAGGGCCGAGGCGCACCGGCGGTGGTTGCAAGTCGAGCCTCCCGGGGCCAGGTTCTTATCCATACCCAGTGCGCCTCGGGCTTCTGGGGAAGGGAGGCCGCAACCCCAAGCTGCAGTGGACCTGGAAACACAGGCCATGCCCGCTCGAGCGCAGCCGGGCGACCGCCGCAGCAGTCGGATCCCAAGCGGTCGCGGCGGCGCCTCGGCCGCCGTCGGCGGTCGTGGCGACGACAACGACGACGATGACGCCAAGGGCCAAGAACGTCAACGACGACGACGCCGACGCCGAACCCGACGACGACGACGACGACGACGACTCAGACGACGACGCCGACGACGACGCCGGCACGACGAGAACGGCGACGGCCACGCCGACGCCGACGCCGACGCCGACGCCGAAGCCAACGCCGACGCCGAACCCGACGACGACGACGACGACGACGAGCCGCTGAGCGCCCGGCAGGCCCGCGGAGAGCGCGACCGCGGCGCCCTGAGGCTGGGCGCGGGCGCGGGTCTCGCCGAAGAGCTGCTCCAGGGACTTGTGCGCCTCGCTGGGCCCGCGGCGTGTGGGCCCGGCCGCCCCGGCCCTGCAACGCTGGCAGAAGGATTCCGTCACGTGATGCGAAGCTCCCCCCTCCCCACCGAAGCCACCTCCTCCTCCTCCACTTTATATCCTCCTCCTCCTCCTCCTCCTCCTCCTCCTCCTCCTCCTCCTCGTTCCCCTCCTCCTCCTCCTCCTCCTCCTCCTCCTCCACCTCCTCCTCCTCCTCCTGCTCCTCCTCCCCCTCCTCCGATTCTTATCACGTGACGGATCCAACTCGCCGGCAACGGTTGGGGTCTGGCCGCCCGTCGCGATGTCTGCGAGCCTGGCGTCTCGCTTCTGGCAAGCCGGGCCTCTTTTGACCCGGTGCCGGGCCCCGGGGCTCTCACAGACCGATCTGGCTCGAACAATGCAACCTCGCAGCGGTCTCCGGGGATCCTCGGCGGTCTTCTGCGCGAAAGCTGGGCGGCTGCGTTTGACAAGGAGGGCCTGGCCGTACCCCTTCTTAGGCCTCGGGATATCCCAGAACAGCTTCCACGAACAAGCAGAAGCCTCGGCAGAATTTGAACCTGCCCCTGGCGCTGCTGTCGGCCGCTCGAAACTAGAGACCGGTGCAGATCGCAAGATCAGAGGATCTGGCCTGTGTCGGCGGGAAAGGCACGGGCAGCCTTCTCTAATCTACGCCTCCTGCTGCACACCGTCGTCTATCTACGCATCCTCCCTTCCCTTCTTCGGCAGAGGCGCGGTGGGATCCCCGCCTTCGGAAAACAGGCTGGGTCTGA